CTAAATAAATACTAACTAACTACATATTCAAAACTAACTTAGGCCTAGAGACTAAAACATATGAAGAACGATTGCAGGAATTGGGTATGGCCAGTCTAGAGAAAAGAAGGACTAGGGGGGACATGATAGCAGTCTTTCAGTATTTGAGGGGCTGCCGCAAAGAAGAGGGGGGGGGTCAGCCACCTATCTGAAATGGTATAGGGCAGTGATTCTCAACCTTTCTAATGCCGTGACCCCATAATACAGTTCCCCATGTTGTGGTGACCCCCAAGTGGGTGTGGCCACCAATAAGAGGGAGTAGGACAGCTAGGGAAAAGGGAAAAAAATGGCGGACAGCATGGTTTGGTGACCCCCGTGAAATGGTCATTCGACCCCAAATGGGGTCCTGACCCACAGGTTGAGAACCGCTGGTATAGGGTCTCCTGCTTGAGCAGGGGGTTGGACTAGATGACCTCCAATGAAGTCCCTTCCAGCTGTATTCTAATTGATTGATTGATTGGAAAAAAACAAAACGAAAGTAGGTTAAAAAAAATGTTTGAAGACCTTCTAGAACAGTGTTTCTCAACCTTGACAATTTTAAGGCATGTGGACTTCAACTCCCAGAATTCCACAGCCAGCATTGCTGGCTGTGGAATTCTGGGAGTTGAAGTCCACATGCCTTAAAATTGTCAAGGTTGAGAAACACTGATACACCAATATCAAGGTTCCAAACCTTGGCCAGTTTATGACTTGTGGACTTCAACTCCCAGAATTCCTCAGCCAGCAAACAGTGTTTCTCAACCTTGACAATTTTAAGGCATGTGGACTTCAACTCCCAGAATTCCACAGCCAGCAATGCTGGCTGGGGAATTCTGGGAGTTGAAGTCCACATGCCTTAAAATTGTCAAGATTGAGAAACACTGTAATCTAGCTTGAGCAGGGGGTTGGACTAGAAGACCTCTAAGCTCCCTTCCAGCTCTAGTCTGATTGAGCTCAATGCATCAAAGCGCAACTTGTTTTCCAGGAGTATGTAAGTAGTACAACTTCTTCTTCCTATGTCAAGCCATTTTCCGGTTCAAAACCGCTTCAAGTCTCACCCCAGGTGCCTGAGCTCCACACAGCTACCATCACAGTTCTGAGCAAAATTCAAATGTGCACACACACTCACACCAGGACGCACACTCACATCTAAATACATACACGCCCAGCCCATCTGGGGAAGCAATAAAGAGAGACGCTGTATTTGCTCGGCGAGTGCAATGCTATGGCAACTGCCTGCCCAAGCTCACTTTCTGAAATATCTGTTTCCTAGCAACAGTGGGGCTTCTTCCCCCCCCCCCCCCGAATTGGCAAACAAATAAAAATTCTAGCTCTGGATAAAGAAAAAAGGGGGGAAAAAAATCTACAACGCTATCCAGAAATAACTCAAAGCGTTCTACTTTTAGTTTAGGTTTTACACTGACAGGAGAAACTCTTTGAAAAAGCCAGACAGCTTTAACTGGCTGATGGACTCCTGCCTTAAATCGCTAAGTGGGTTATTTGCCCGTAAAGTTAATATTAGTAGTAGGTGTGAATTTAAATGGACTCCAGAAGATGGTAGAGGACAGGAAGACCTGGAGGAACGTTGTCCATGGGGTCGCGATGGGTCGGACACGACTTCGCAATTAACAACAACAACAACAAAGTTAGTATGTATGTATGTATGTACGTATATTAATATGGCACTGTATGTTTCAGGAAAGTATATACAGAGGTAGAACGTGTCTTTAAGTGGAGGGAGGCAGAGTCACCGTGGCAGGGTCTCCGGGAATAGAATTATCCCCTCCAAGTGAGGTTATGCGGCGTGTGGCAACGGACAAGAGTGGATATAAATACCCCCGTTAGCAATCTCAGCTGAATCTTTAAACAGCGCCGGATCGACAGCAGCGTTCTAAAAATAGTCCGACAAGGCTGCGTTTGAGCACTTGGCCTCAGACGCACTCCTCTCGTGCTTACCCGGGGTGAATTTCAATTCCTCTCTTTCGTGTCGTTCAAAATGAACATCGACGGCGCAGGCGAGACGACAAGGCTCTGACCTCTCCCCGCCGAGGTTCCCCTTACGCGGCGCAAGGCGGGCAGATGCGATAAGGAGGAAAAAGGCAAGCGGTGGGCGAAACGTCCCGGCTGATTAAACATGATGAGCTAAACGTAGTGTTTCCCAAACTTGACAATGTTAAGGCATGAGGACTTCAACTCCCAGAATTCCACAGCCAGCAACGCTGGCTGTGGAATTCTGGGAGTTGAAGTCCACATGCCTTAAAATTGTCAAGTTTGGGAAACACTGAGCTAAAGCCCGCTTCTCTAAGGGACGTCAATCGATTTTATTTGTTTATTACAAATTGTACGGCCGCCCTCTCCCGAGTCGGAGCGAAACTGGGCGGCTTGCGACAGCGTCAAAGCAGGAACGTTCAACTATTAAAAGGTGAAGAAAGCGCTCAAAAGAAGAGCATTAAACATGAACAAGGACTGGCCCAAAATAGGAAACCAATACATAGGCAGGAGGTGGAATCGTCTTCGCGTTCTATTAAGCGCCAGCACTGCGGCTGCTGTCCAATCGGCAAAGTCAGATTTCAAGGCTTTTTGGGAAGGTCAAAAGGGTGGGGGTGGTTCTCAGCTTGAGGAGCAGGGTAACCAAAGCAATAGGACTTATGCAACGCTTCACAGGGACCTTACAGCCCCCTCTAGGTGGTTTACTGTCAGCATGTTGACCCCCAACAATCTGGATCCTCATTTTACCGACCTCAGAAGGATGAAAGGCTGAGTCAACCTCGAGTCGGTGAGAATCGAACTGCTGGCAGTCAGCAGAATTAGCCTGCAATACTGCATTCTAATCAGTGTGTCACCAAGTAGAATAGAATGGAATGGAATGGAAGGGAAGGGAAGGGAAGAGAGAAGAGAGAATAGAACGGAACGGAACGGAACGGAACAGAACATAGAATAGAATAGAATAGAATAGAATAGAATAGAATAGAATAGAATAGAATAGAATAGAATAAGCTATAAGAGTTATATACCGCTTCACAGTGTTTTACAGCCCTCTCTAAGCGGTTTATAGAGTCAGCATCTTGCCCCCAACAATCCGGATCCTCATTTTACCGCCTTGAGAAGGATGGAAGGCTGAGTCTACCTTGAACCGGTGAGAATCGAACTGCTGGCAGTCGGCAGAATTAGCCTGCAATACGGCATTCTGACCACGGCGCCACCACGGCTCTACCATGATGTTCCAGGGAGTGAAAGCCAAAGCAGAAAAGGCTCTTCTCCTGGATCCAGGGCCAGCCAAAGTTCTTTGGCCCCCATAGCATGCCTCTTTTGGGGCATTTAAAGAGTTTATTAGATTTAATACATTTAAATTTCACAGATGAAAGAAAGAAAGAAAGAAAGAAAGAAAGAAAGAAAGAAAGAAAGAAAGAAAGAAAGAAAGAAAGAAAGAAAGAAAGAGGGAGAGAGAGAGAAAGAAAGAAAGAAAGAAAGAAAGAAAGAAAGAAAGAAAGAAAGAAAGAAAGAAAGAAAGAAAAGAAAGAATCCTCTTCCCCAAGATTGCTTTCCTACGGCAAGTTTCATACATTCATGCTCCATCTGTGTTCTATTCTTGACCTGTCATGGAAATTCCAACATAAAAAACCATTTCCAACAATGTTTTTGCTATTCCTGCAGCAGCGCTATAAATTAAAATAACAATGGAATATCTTTTAATGAGATATACCAGATATTTCCAAATTTTAACTGCTCTACAAATATATTCATTTATGACTTGGTTAGCCGTAAAAGATGTTAAAGAAAATGAAGATATACTCGAATTTATTTGTAGGTCAGGCTGACATAAGTAATTTCTATAAAAAGTTCCTGGGTTAAATTGTGTGAATTTGGAGACAGATGTTTGAGACATGTCAAATAGCTAATACTTAACTAGTAAAGTATAAATGTCTGCTAGAATATTGCAAGGGGTCCTTTCCTAGCCTTATGGGAGAACCCACCTTTGCTTGGACAATTTAATATGTTATTTCATTTACGACCTAATGAACGTACACAAGTTCTTCTAAAGAAGCTTGATATTCAGATGCAAAGATCAAGCCACATTCAAAAATGCTAGGGGATTCCCGAAGTTTGGCATTCAAATAAATCAGCTAGGGGACACATAGATATAAATCACATTTCCACATCATTGCAAAAAAGAACATTAACAATCAAAGGAAGGGAGCAAAAAGAGTAAAATACATTCCCTCCAATACTCAGATAAACAAGAATCAATACCCAGATTATGGCTGTATACATTTGAATACATAAATAAACATAAACAAGCAGCAAACACCACACCCACTAGCACTGATGATGTTACCTAGTTGAATAATGAGATATCTGCAAGCAAATAACCACCATCAGAGAGTACCAAGAACTTCACAATTCAACCCTGAGCTAAATGTTTTCTTTTCTATTGCACATAAGTTGCACTCTAGTAGAAAGCATTTAATACAGACCTTGGCATTTTATGGCCTGTGGGCCATATCTGGCCATCCAGCTGTCTCTTTCCAGCCTGCGGTGTTGGCAGTGGGGGACAAGGGGCAGTGGTGGGAGGGCAGGGGCAAGGGGCAGGGGCAAGGGGCAGGGCAGGGGATGAGGGGCATTGGTGGGTTTGCACCGGTTCGGTAGAACTGGTAGCTAAATTTTGTTGAGTTTGGACAACCAACTGAACAGATGCTGCTTCTGGAAGTCCATTCTAGGCCTCGGAGGCCTGGAGAAGGTCTCCCAGGCCTAGAACGGCCTCCGGAAGTACATGGATGTCACTTCCGGAAGTCCGGTCTAGGCCTAGTGGAGGCCTCCCAGGCCTAGAACGACCCACCAGAAGTGCATGGATGTCACTTCCGGAAGCCCATTCTATGCCTCGGAGGCCCAGGCCTGCATCCACGCAGAGAACCGCATGCTCAGGATTAGTATCCCACCACTGATGAGGGGGCAGGAATGAGGTGGCGGCAGTCCTTCACAACAATCTCAGTTTCTCATGTGATCCCTTGGGAAAAATCAACTGTCCATTCCTGATTTAATATAAGTTGCAAAACTTATTACAGCAAGACTGATCACCTACCTTTATGTGACTGAAGTCACCAACTTTAGTGGCTTCCTGTGGATTTATAGGTTTATTTTCCATACGTGGCTTTATCACTTGTCGAAAGGGACTGGAAAGTGGAAGACCGCTCACGCTAATTCCATCTACAAAATGGGGAAAAGGTCAAAATTACTATATTTCATCTTCTAGGATGCTGTCCAGGTTCTTAGCTAAAGATCGTGTTTGCATGGTATGTTTTCCCATAGTTTAACTAAGCTCAATTTTCACTGTTCACAGGATAAACTGAACTATAGTCAACAAATACCATTGTTGTTGTTGTTAGTTGCGAAGTCGTGTCCAACCTATCACAACCCCATGGACCATGTTCCTCCAGGCCTTCCTGTCCTCTACCATCTTCTGGAGTCCACTGAAGCTCACGCCTCCTGCTTCAGGGACTCCATCCAGCCACCTCCTTCTCTGTCGTCCCCTTCTTCTCTGGCCCTCAATCTTTCCCAGCATTAGGCTCTTCTCCAGTGAGTCCTTCCTTCTCATTAGGTGGCCAAAGTCTTTGAGTTTCAACTTCAGGATCTGGCCTTCTAAAGAGCAGTCGGGGTTGATCTCCTCCAGGACTGACCGGTTTGATCGCCTTGCAGTTCAGGGGACTCGCAGGAGTCTTCTCCAGCACCATAGGCTAAAATCTAGTTGAATAATTTCAATTCTATATGGTACGCTAACACAACCGATAAGGTGAAATCCGATTCAAATAAATTTGAATACCTCACATAATATAAAGAAAAGATCACACCATTTGAAAAGAATGGAGACAATAATCCCAAGAGAAGTGCTTGGAAGAATTGCAAATTGCAACTAAATCATAGCTTGCTCTTTTGTTTTGCAACGTGATCAGAAATTGTGGCTAATTCGGAACTAAACATGCTAGATGATTTGACTATGTGAAGACAAAAAGTACAGACGTCCAAAGCTTATTCATAATTGGAATAATATGCTTTGGCAGTACTTTATTCTAAAGCAGTATTTAAAAAAAAATTGAGGAGGAAGATATCCACTTATTTTTAAAGTAATATAAATGCTAAGCATAAATGTAACCAAATAATGCAAATAATGCAGTAAAACAGCATTCATTTCTGTCAAGTAGCATATTAATAACCATAAACATAAATATTATACCATGAATTTTTATGTGATTTACATAAAACTTCTATTTACCATTCTACATATTACAGAAGGGACTAAAAACCTGCCTTCCGAAATGCATCATAGCAGATATTTATTGCTATGCTGTCAAAATGATTGACTTTTAAACAAGCAGCTTTTCTCTAAAAAGAGAAAGGTGACCACAGCTTATTAACCTGTTATTTCAAAGGCAAGAATTGGATTTTAACCTTTAGCTTTGATCCAATTTAAATAAATACCAACCAGCTGTTAATGTTAGTTGCTATATCTGATATTGATTTGTTCTGATATTTATTTTGCATGTCACGTTTTAACATGACTGAGGTAAATTGGGATGTACGGCACTTGTATTCATTTGCAAACCCAATTAAGATCAATAAATCAGTGCCCAGATCTTTGTTAGATGTCATGCTCCGTTACTCACTGACTGCTTATGAAGTGCAGACAAACAGTCCTTACTCTAACCCCAGAAATGAATTGATTGTTCAGTGAGAATGAGAAAAATAAGCACAACAAACAAAAACCAAACAGTTCATCTTCCAATCCTAGAATAACTGGGATATGAAGGTCCTCCCAAGAAGCTTTCCAATACCTTGTGCACCTTCTCCAATTTACTTATCTGCAGCATACAAGAACATAAATTATATGAAGGGCTAAATTGCCATTATTCTCTCCCTCCCTCCCTCCCTCCCTCTCTCTCTCTGTGCATGCACGTAGGTAGGTAGGTAGGTAGGTAGGTAGGAAGGAAGGAAGGAAGGAAGGAAGGAAGGAAGGAAGGAAGGAAGGAAGGAAGGAAGGAAGGAAGGAAGGAAATTCAATGATAATGTCAGCAAGTTGGGGAATGAAATGTCTATAAGAAAACAATCAAGCTCAGGGAGGGAGGGAGGGAGGGAGAAAAGAAAGAAAGAAAGAAAGAAAGAAAGAAAGAAAGAAAGAAAGAAAGAAAGAAAGAAAGAAAGAAAGAAAGAAAGAAAAAGAATTTCATGATTCAGAAAGCAAGACCGAAGAATACCCCAGTCATTTTCTGCTCTAAACAGGGATATTTACATTAGTTTACTCTAGTCCAGTGGTTCTCAACCTGTGGGTCGGGACCCCATTTGGGGTCGAACGACCATTTCACGGGGGTCGCCAAACAACGCAGTCCACCATTTTTCCCCCCTTTTCCTTAGCTTTGCTACTCCCTTTTATTCTATTGGCTTTTGAAAGCCAATAGAATAGACTCTCTTGAATAGAGTCTAATTCTATTGGCTTTCAAAAGCCGATAGGAATTGTCCAGGCTGTCTCTGCCCTGCTGAGCCCGCCAAAAGTCCCATTCTGCAAACGGTGCTGCACCAGTTGAGTAGTCCTCGACTTACAACCGGTTGAGTAGTCCTCGACTACGACCGGTTGGGGGTCGCAGCATTAAAAAAGTTAAGAACCACTGCTCTAGTTGTTAAGTACCAGGCTAGAAAGTGGGAAACTATGAATTCAAATCCCATCTTACCCATGAAAAACAGCTAAGTGACTTCAGGCTAGTCCAGGGGTAGGCAACCATGGCTCTTTTATGACTCATGGACTTCAACTCCCAGAATTCCTGAGCCAGCCATGCTGAGGGGAAAGGGAGAGGTTTCCAAGCTGAGCCATGCTGGCTCAGGAATTCTGGGAGTTGAAGTCCACAAGTCATTAAAAGAGCCAAGGTTGCCTACCCTTGGGTTAGTCACTCTCTCTCAGCCCAACTCACCTCACAGGGTTGTTGTGGGGAAATAGAAGGAAGGAAGGTGGGTTGGCTATGTTCGTCGTCTAATTATTTGTAAAAATTATAAAGGCGGGATACAAATAAATAAAATGGAAAATGAAATGAATTAACATTGCTTCCATAAGCAAACTTCAGATGGCCTCAAATAATTTCTCTCTGGGGGCGGGGGTTATTTTATTATACATTATTTATATCAGTCTAAAACTTCTGACCCCAAGGACAACACAAGTTTATTCTTGGGGTTTGTTAACGTTGCCCATCAAACAGCAAATGAATTTTAAACTAAAACCCATTACTGTACAACCAAGCGATTAACTTACCTTTATTAAGACTGCTTTAATAGTAAACAATTTATAACGAAGTAGAAGATAAACCCCATGTATTTTAGGACTGTGGCTCTTAATTAAAATATGAAGTCGTTAGATTTTTATCAATATATGACAATCATACTTTTGCCTGGAAGAACTGGTGGAGCACCGACTGCAACTTTATGAATTATGTACACAGTTTTCCTCTTGCATTATTGAAATTACCGGGTTTATGAGACGCTGTGCGATGCGGCTTTTCAATTACGTTCTAGAAAACGCTGAAAAATGCTTTCCTCTTGGTTTGATTAGGTACAAGTATACTTAGCGATGTAAAACCGACTCCAGGGAGTCTGCTCCTCTACATCGTCTTTAACCGGGTCAATGGGTGGGAATCGGACCCCGAGTTACAAGTCTTTCCCAAGGAACTAAGAGGCAAAGTAACAGCTGGCCTTTAGAAGTTGTGGGTGCTTCATCACTGGAGAGTGTTAAGAAAAGACTGGATAGCCCTTATCTCACACTGCCTTGAATCTCTGCTATCTAGAAAGAGGCCCCAGAAGGAACCCACCCTAATCCTTTCACAGGATATCTCTGATACTTATGCAGAGTGTGCTTTAGTCTGGCAAGATTCCTGCCTGCGGGCAACCAAGTTGGGCAACCTACAGTGTGTCAGTGGTTAAGAGCCGAGGTGGCGCAGCAGTTATAGAGTGCAGTACTGCAGGCCACTTTAGCTGACTGTGTTCAGCAGGTCAGCGGTTCAAATCTTACCGGCTCAAGGTTGACTCAGCCTTCCATCCTTCCGGGGTAGGTAAAATGAGGACCCAGATTGCTGGGGGCAATGTAATATATATATATATATATATATACATTGCTTACTGGTGTACACCACTTAGAGAGTGCTTGCACTTAAAGCGGTATATAAGTCTCATAAATAAATAAATAAATAAATAAATAAATAAATAAATAAATAATGGATAGGCTGCATTAAAGAGGGATAGAATCAAGATCACGTGAAGTATTAATACCACTCTTCAATGCCTTGGTAAGGCCACACTTGGAATACTGCATCCAGTTTTGGTCACCACGATATAAAAAAGATGTTGAGACTCTAGAAAGAGTACAGAGAAGAGCAACAAAGATGATTAGGGACTGGAGGCTAAAACATATAAGGAACGGTTGCTAGAATTGGGTATGTAGTTAGTTTAGGAGAAGGACAAAGAAGAGGGAATTAAGCTGATTTTCTAAAGCACCTGAAGGCCTCCAGAAGCAGTAAATGCTCCAACACTGGAAGTTTTTAAGAAGAGACTGGACAGCCATTTGTCCGAAATGGTGTAGGTTTCCTGCCCGAGCAGGGGGTTGGACTAGATGACCTCCAAGGTCCCTTCCAACTTTACTATTATTACTACTATTATTATTATTATTATTATTATTATTATTATTATTATTATTATTATTATCTGGTTCTAAGACTAAGGTGTGGGTCCCTCTGGCCCTGCATTGGAGGGCAGAGCAATTGGGTGTCCTTCTTCTCCTGAACTTCTCCAGAACTTCTTTTTTCATCCAATTTGAATTGGAAGGTGCTCCATACCAGAACTGTGCTGGTATGGGCTACCCTCAAGTCTGTACCTGGAGAACATTATCACAGAACCTAGGGGCATTAAAAGTGTTTTCCCAACACATTTTCAAACTCATCTACACAGCCGTGAAGACTGATGCCTTTTTAAAAAAAAAGTAAAAGAGAGAAGCAACCTGGAATTAAGGAGAAACTTCTTAACAGTGAGGACAATCAACCAGTGGAACAGCTTGCCTCCAGAAATTGTGGTCGCTCTATCACTGGAGGTTTTTAAGAAGAGACTAGACATTCACCTCTCTGCGATGGTATAGGTTCTCCTGCTTGAGCAGGAGGCTGGACTAGAAGACCTCCAAGGTCCCTTCCAGCTCTGCTCAGCTCTGCTTTGCTCTGCTCTACTCTATTGCGGAGTTTGGTTAAACATTTTGCAAATAAAGGAATGGTGCTTAGAATGGGGAAATATTAGAATAGAATAGAATAGAACAGAATAAGGGATAGAATAGAATAGAATAGAATAGAATAGAATAGAATAGAATAGAATAGAATAGAATAGAATAGAATAGAATAGAATAGAATAGAATAGAATAGGATGGGATGGGATGGGATGGGATGGGATGGGATGGGATGGGATGGGACAAGGAATAGGAATAGGAATAGGAATAAGAATAAGAATAGGAATAAGAATAAGAATAGAATAGAATAGAATAGAATAGAATAGAAGCTGGAAGGGACCTTGCAGGTCTTCAAGTCCAGCCCCCTGCTTAAGCAGGAGAACCTATATCGTCTCAGACAAGTGACTATCTAGTCTCTTCTTTAAAATCTCCAGTGATGGAGCGCCCACGATTTCTGGAGGCAAGCAGTTCCGCTGGTTAATTGTCCTCACTCTCAGGAAGTTTCTCCTTAGTTCCAGGTTGCTTCTCTCCTTGATCAGTTTCCCACCATTGTTTCTCGTCCTTCCCTCTGGTGCTTTGGAGAATAACGTGACCCCCCTCTTGCTGGTGGCAGCCCCTCAAGATACTGGAACACTGCTATCATGTCTCCCCTATTTCTTCTTTTCTTTAGACTAGCCAAACCCAAGTCTTGCAGCCGGGACCAATATTTCTTGTATTTTCCCAAACCCTTTCCGAGTCAGTCTCTAACTGCCAATCATCATCTATCAACCCATTCAAGGAGTTAACATTGGTTCCATAGGTTACGAAGCCGTTTAGGAGCAAGTGACTGAAAAACTGTCTGCTTCTATGTTAGCCTCTGAGATTTTGCATTCTGAGAAAATGCTCTGCTTGTTGCACCTCATGCTGTGGACTTGGCAGCCTTTTGGAGGAGATTGTCCTAAAAATGTAAAATCATCTTTTCAGTGAGCAGAGACTTTGGTTAAAGATTTTTATTTGCAAAACATTTGTTCTTCCGATCAGCCTAACTGCAGTCCTCCCTGGTAACCATTGTTTTTATTATTCTTAATTTTACACATGATGATATTTACTGTTTGACGGGCCTCGTTGCGATTATTGGAATCTAAACACTATTTACCTGTTTAGTAAAATGAAAATCACCCTGTATGCTTTAAAACTAAATAAGCTGTATCTGTGTTTTATAGATGACAGTGAAAATTATTCATACCTTTCATCTCCCAAATATGGAAATTTTAGTTAATGTAGCACATGACATTTCTGGTTACCATATTTTAACCTTAATAACATTTCTTTGCATTGTACTATGAATTTCTAGAGTAGGGTGGTTTTAATGAGCTCTGGGGGTAAACTAAAAAGAGCCTGCTTAGTCCACAGTCACCGCAATTTAGTGGTGTGTTTATAACAGTACAATACCAAACAATTCATCACTCAAGCAGAGAAGAAAGCTAATTTCAAATATATAGGCAAGTCCATCAGCTTGGAAACCTCTCCCTTTCCCCTCAGCATGGCTGGCTCAGGAATTCTGGGAGTTGAAGTCCACGAGTCACAAAAGAGCCAAGGTTGCCTACCCCTGGCCTAGGCAACCCAAATAACACCTCTACTTCACAAGTTGCATTGGCTCCCAGTGAGTTTCCAGGTACAATTCAAGGCAGTATACCATCTACAAAGGGGGGGGGAGCACACAATGACTCAACAGTTAAAGACATTGAGCTTGTCAGCTGGAACCCTGTCAAAAATTAAAATTTAGCCATTGTATTAGTTAAAACTTTAACCCACCATCATTCAGATCCTGCAGAAGGTTTTCGTGACAGGAGAAATCAAGCTTGACTTTAATATACACAGTAAATACAGCAATACTTCCTGGCTTTAAAGGAAACTGTGAGAGTGTATCTTCTAGATTCCAACTCAAGAAGTCACCAAACATTTTTCCTAAAATAAAAACATACGGAGGTTAAATGTAAATGCAAACACAATTAACGTATATCCCTTCAACCCAGTGTTAAATACATACACTCCAGCATTTGCAGAGATGTTAATGATTTTAATGCTTTCTCAAGAAATTAAAAAAAAACTGCTTTCTATCATCCTTCAATATTCCTGTAATACAACAAAAAGAGCTACTAAAAAGTGAATTCCATCTGTCCACTATTTTCAGGAACAAACAGAAAAGATTTTCCCTTCCTACTCAGGTAATGGAATATAAAAATTGTTGACTTAGAAGGCACTCTAAAATTAAGCTTCATCTGATGCTGAATTAGATTTCCATAAAACGTATTTAAAATGGTAAATCTGTATTATGTTAGCATCTGAAGATTTGAACCCTCCGTTATTGACTTTTGTTCTTATGGTTAGTCTTCATAAACACAAGTCTTCTACTTCCACCCAAGGTAATAAGAATGACGATTCCTATATTTCAACTCAAAATATGATTTTGGAGAAGGGAAAACAGTTTTCTTTGCCCTAGTCAAAAATCAGCCTAGAACGAACTTGAAATTCTTCACAATATGTGATGTATTTAAAACATGTGTAAAAATTGCCTATTGGGAGATTTTAAAAAACTACGTTTATTAGCGCAGATAAATCTCCCTGCTTGAAAAGAACAGGAGCTTTCAATCCATCCTGATATAGTATTCAAATCAAAATTTGTCTTTATGTTTGCATGAATGACAGTTACATTAAGAGTTAAAATTTCCCAGTACTGGCCTGCCATTTATTTAAACACCTAACTGCTCCTTAGCAAGAAAGCAAGATAAAGAAACAGGGCTATGAAAATATCTACAGAACCCTCACATCCTGGACACAAACTGTTTCAACTTCTTCCCTCAAGACGATGTTGCAGGGCAGTGGTTCTCAACCTGTGGGTCGGGACCCCATTTGGGGTTGAACAACCATTTCACGGGGGTCGCCAAACAACGCAGTCTGCCATTTTTTCCCCCTTTTCCTTAGCTGTGCTACTCCCTTTTATTCTATTGGCTTTTGAAAGCCAATAGAATAGACTCTCTTGAATAGAGTCTAATTCTATTGGCTTTCAAAAGCCAATAGGAATTGTCCAGGCTATCTCTGCCCTGCTGAGCCCGCCAAAAGTCCCATTCTGCAAACGGTGCTGCACCAGTTAAGTAGTCCTCGACTTACAACCGGTTGAGTAGTCCTCAACCGGTTGTAAGTAGTGCTAAACAACTAATTCTCTGTCTTATGCCCTGGGAGGTCAAACCACCTAGTAGGGGCTGTATTACTATTATCTTTCTCAGCGTTCCTATTATCTATCTCCTTAGTTTCTTATGACCATAACTTTGTTGTTTGTATCTTATAATTTATGTTGTTTGCTTTTATTAGTATCCTATTGTGATTTATGATTGCTTATTTAGTATCCTATGACTATCACTGAATGTTGTGTCTTATGATTTATGATGATTGTATTTTGTGATTATGATCACGATTTATCACTCGTTGCTTGTATGTACACTGAGAGCTTATGCACTGGAGACAAATTCCTTGTGTGTCCAATCACACTTGGCCAATAAAGAATTCTATTCTATTCTATTCTATTCTATTCTATTCTATTCTATTCTATTCTATTCTATTCTATTCTATTCCATTCCATTCCATTCCATTGCATTCCATTCCATATTTTTCTATTCTATTCTATTCTATTCTATTCTATTCTATTCTATTCTATTCTATTCTATTCTATTCTATTCTATTCTATTCTATTCCATTCCATTCCATTCCATTCCATTCCATATTTTTCTATTCTATTCTATTCTATTCTATTCTATTCTATTCTAGGCTAGGCTAGGCTAGGCTAGGCTAGGCTAGGCTAGGCTAGGCTAGGCTAGGCTAGGCTAAGCTAGGCTATTCTAATTTTTAAAGACAAAGGAAGATGTCTGTTAATCTGTGGAAAGGTAAGAAAAGGAATACTGGATTCAAACTATGGTAATTTAAAAGGCACAAATTAATCTTCTTTATCCTTATAGGAATCATTAAATGTATATAGCCAGATCTTATTCTATGAGATTCAAATCCATTACTGTACGGGGAACTGAACTCATGGATAATCGCACTTTACATGACTACATACAGCACACTGCAAAGCGTGAGATGGGTGGCATATAAATTTATTAAGTAAATAAAACATATAAATTAACTTTAGAAACTATCCAGGTTCTGCTGTTCAGCACCAAAGTTCTCTTCAGGAAGACATATATACAGTCTATCAGAATGGGATCTACAGTCCATCAATTGTTCACCTACAGTCTTGAGAGCTGAAGGTAATGAAATTTCATTTTAATGTATGCCGATTAGTGTACATTTAAAGTGACAATAAAGTTATTCTCTTCTAGTCCACATGGCATAATGTAACATAAGCATCTCATAAGAGTGATATATATATATATATATATATATATATATATATATATATATATATATATCTTACATGGTATACCTTTTCTTTAAATTCAAGACAGATCGAGGTTAATGGATTTGAGCCCCATGTAGTAAGATCTGGCTGTGAACATTTGGAGATTCCTAATAAGAATAAAACCAACCACGTATGGCATCCTGATGGTTATTGTTCACTGAAAACACCACACAGAATATACATTGCACGCAAAATACAGAAATCGCCCTTTCCAAGGGGAATGGGGTCAATAATAATAATCTTTATTGATTAGCCCGTGGGCCATATCAAGGTGCAGAGTTCCAAACACACGTTATACTAAAAATGCAGTAAAAACAATTTAGAATGGAATTAGTTAAAATATCATTTAGGATAAAATAGAAATAAAATACAATTTCAAATGAAATTGGGATAAAATATGGTGGACGTACGTGAGGCCATGACAAAATGTAATACTTCTCCCCCCACCACCTTAAAAGAAGGCCGACTGCATACATCACTTAAGACAGATTTTAAGAGAAAATAGGTTTCAAAGAAACTTAGATTTCTGAACAGTTGCCAGAATTGCTCTATCAAGGGAAAACAAACTCCAAACTATAAACATTTGACAACATGGTAGCCAAAAGAACATGATCTTCAGCTGTTTCTAGGACAGCAACAGAGTGTGTAGGAAATGCAATCCCAATTAGAAAAAGGAAATGGAGAGAATAAAAAACTAAAACAAATCAGCCCAGTTGATAGGAAAACATCGGGAAGGGGGGAGGGAGCAGGAGTGATTTTATAGCAGTTGGAAAACTACTAATTTAACCTTTCATGTTGACCATTTTTGAGGTAACCTCCAGCTTCTCCAGAGGTTCTGTTCCAATATTTTCAAGTTTAATGATGAGCGGCTGAGTCTCTCCGTTGTACAGCTGGACAGACACGCTGGTGGTAATTTCGTCACCCGAAGAAGGCTGAAGGGTACGCGCAGACCTTAAAAAATTGTGGGAAAGTATCAGTGGGTAATGCATCCATCATTATAAAATGAATCCATACATTATTTACAATAGGGGTCCCCAACTCCCTGGTCTGTGGACCGCCACCGGTCTGCAGCATGCCAGCAACTGGGCCGCGTAAACAAGCGAAGCCCCATCCGTGGGATGCAGGCAGCACGTGAAACCACGCCCTCTCCGTGGAACCGGTCCCTGGTGACCAAAAAGTTTGGGGCTGCTGATTTACAATACATTCATAGTAGTTTTTCTTTCCATTCAGTTGTGTCCAGTTCCCTGAGACTGGACAAGTCCTTGCAGTTTTCCCAGCAAGCTTTTTTCAGTAATAGTTTGCCTTTGTCTGCTTTCTAGGGCTAAGAGAGAGTGTGACTGGTCCCAGGTCATCCAGTGGGCTTCTTGCACAAGGGGGGGACTAGAACTCAGGGTCCCCCAGTTTCTAGTCTGATGCCTTCACCACTACACCAAACCGGATCTCTCAGATATCGCCATATGTTATTAAAGTATTAATAAACAATGTCACCTAAGTTTATGAACACTGTTAATAAAACGGGGGTGATGGAGAAAATAAAGATCGGGCCAAAAACAATCACACTAATGGCAGAAGAAGCATTTAACCACAACTTTCAGTTTGGCACTACTTATTCCTGTTCTTCCCTTTGTTACTGTTCTTCATCACCTGCCACACTTGAAAACTGGGACTGTATGAGGTACAACTTGAAGTGGAGGCAGACGTAGGGAATTTTATTTGGGTATCTAAAGTGCAAACTCAGTGAAACTTAGTTTTGAACCATGCTAAAGAAAGATACAATTAAAGTTAACTTCTGCCCCCGAGAACTGACAAAAGTGTTAACACTCAAAACTAACTGGGATAAAATTAAGGCATTACTTATCCTTCTGAGGTAAATTTAGCACAGAGAAACAAGCACTTTAAATAAAAAAAAAACCTCCAAAATAAATGAACAAAAAAGTCAAAAATGCACATGAAGGACTGTAATCAAACAGCTCACTAAGGGAAGAGTGTAGAAAATTTTATTATTTCTCATGCACACACATACATATACACACACAAACACACAGACTCATACACACAAGCACACATACACTTCTCTCCTTTACAAACTGCAATCCCTTAGCCATCACCAGCCATTTAGAATCCCTTTCTAAACACAGTTTCAAGGGAGTTTTGAAAGAAAACTATGCTGAATATTCAATTTAGGGTAGATATTAATATTAATCATAATAAAAAAAAAACCACAAGCAGAGAAAATTTGCCCAAAACTTGCTTCCAAATTTTGGAGCATAAATCCATGCATGAAACATGGATATGGTCAAGATTATTTTTCTCATTGCAATCATTAAAGGTTCAATTTATAAATAACTTTTTTTTTTTTAATCTCAAAGTAGCAGGACTCAACTGTATTGCATGTGAGAGACTCATCCATTTTAAACTGATTTATAATCCAGCACTGGGGCAGATACAATTTCATTATTTAAAATGTGCTTTGAGAGGAAAAAAAGCTCTCCCTCAGGCCCTTTCACTCTCTATCAACTCTTAACACGTACGTGACAGGTTAAGATATTTTTGTTCCTTTTTTATATAATTTTTATTAAAAAAATTTTTTTAAAAAAAAAAACAAAAACTAGCAACAACTAATATAAAGGAAGGTTAAAAAAAAAGAAAAGAAAGATCAAGGAAAAATCAAAAAGTGCAGGAAAAAGAAGTTGAAGAAACATAGAAAATAGAAAAGGTGCTGTTTAAACGAACCTGTTTTTAATGTTAAGATGAAGTATCATTTGTAATCATTTTCATTTTTTAAAAAAGAAACACTGTGTTTAAAAAAACACATTCAGGCTAACAACAACAACAACAACAACAACAATAATAATAATAATAGAGTTGAAGGGACCTTGAAGGTCATCTAGTCCAACCCCCTGCTCAGGCAGGAAACCCTATATCATTTCAGACAAATGGCTGTCCAGTCTCTTCTTAAAAACTTCCAGTGTTGGAGCATTCACCGCTTCTGGAGGCAGGTTGTTCCACTGGTTAATTGTTCTAACTGTCAGGAAGTTTCTCCTTAGTTCTAGGTTGCTTCTCTCTTTAATTAGTTTCCATCTGTTGCTTCTTGTACTGCCTTCAGGTGCTTTGGAGAATAGCTTGACTCCCTCTTCTTTGGGGCAGCCCCTGAGATATTGGAAGACTTGCTATCATGTCCCCCCTCCTCCTTCTCTTCATTAAACTTCTGAAGACAACTTCTGTTCCACTGGTTGATTGTCCTCACTGTCAGGAAGTTTCTCCTTAATTCCAGGTTGCTTCTCTCTTTGGTCAGTTTCTAACCATTGTTTCTTGTCCTGTCCTCTGGTGCTTTGGAGAATAGCTTGCCTCCCTCTTCTTTAGGGCAGCCCCTGAGATACTGGAAGACTGCTATCATGTCCCCCCTCGTCCTTCTCTTCATTAAACTAGACATACCCAATTCCAGCAGCCATTCTTTATATCTTCTAGCCTCCAGCTCCTTAATCATCTTTGTTGCTCTTCTCTGCCCTCTTTCTAGATATTACTAATCGGAGAGCAGATATCGATAAATGTACTCCAAGTTTGCCAACGTGAAAAAAGCAACCGGCGAAATTCTTACCTTGGTAACGAAGTGCTAATTTGCAACCTAGGTAAAGATGGAATGACTTCCACTGAACAGCCAGAGGTCTTTATTCCTGGGAGTTTATCCAAAAGGCAATCGCTGAAGACTCCAAAGACTGAGGTGTGATAGCCTGTCACCACGAGAAATCAGACAGAGATTGAGCAGAAACAATCAATCACCAAGCATAAACGGGAAATCTACTACAGTTGTTAGAACCAGAGAGTTATTTACTTTGTAAAAAAAAATGTACTGAAGACTGAAATGCTAAGTGCCAGTTGGACATATTTCTAGTTTGGTTACTTCTCAGTTAAAAACATTACTAGGAGAGCCATTATGGCTTGTTGTTGTTGTTAATTGTGAAGTCGTGTCCGACCCATCGCAACCCCATGGACAACGTTCCTCCAGGTCTTCCTGTCCTCTACCATCTTCTGGAATCCATTTAATGGACTCCATTTAATGGAGTCCATTATGGCTAGGAAACCTCAAACCTCAGCTAGAATCTGTCATGGAAACATGCTATTTGATTGGCTAATGCAGAAAAATTAGGAAGTTTTAATTCAGAATCATTTTCCGTCTCAAGTCCATATAATAGCTTGGTCAAATCACTAATAAATGTGGCTCAGATCATTTTTCCTTTTAAGGCAGATTAAGAACTTTTTCATGGCCAAGGCAGTAATTAATAGTATTCTTATGGTTGGTGCACAGTCAGCCAGATGTTTAGACTGAATTTGTCTAATTTATCCATCTATCCCAGTGGTGGCGAACCTATGGCACAGGTGCCAGAGGTGGCACTCGGAGCCCTCTCTGTGGGCACGCGTGCCGTCACCCCAGTCCTAGGCCTTCAGCTGGGTTTCATAAAACCTTTTCGCTTTAGGCCTCCGCCGCCGTGTGCAAAAAAAAAAGGTTCAATCAATCAGTCAATTTCAACTTCTTGCAGGAAAAATAAGATTTTGCAAAATTGGAATTGATTGATTGAACTTTTTAGTCGCACCCAGTCTGCTGTTACCACTGCAGCCACGCCCACCCAATGGGCCACACCCACCCAATGGGCCACACCCACCGGCACCGAACAATGCATAAGTGGGTTTTGGGTTGCAGTTTGGGCACTCGGTCTCTAAAAGGTTCGGCATCACTGATGTATCCCATCCTTGGGAAGGATCATAATAGTGGTGTTGCTGAAAGTGACAAAAGCAACATTTGTGGGCTATCAGATGAACAGAAGTCAATTTCACACAGTTTGTTTATTTTGACAAAAAAAAACAACTAAATTTGATAGTGCCATGGGGTCTTGGCACACTGACCTTGTGGGTTTGGGATTAATAAAAAACGGGGCCGCAAAAAATATGTATTATGCAGTTTGCTCATTCTTTTTAAGGCTCTAGAAATCTATTCCTAACATGTAAGATAAAATAAAAAACAATGCTTAGAAACTAGCTCAGGCAGACTAGCTCTTGGCACAGTCCATCTGCTGTTTCTTTTCACTCTTCATTAATCTGCCGTTTATAATTGACTGAAATAATTCTGTTTCAAACACTATGTCAAGTGCACCAGCTCCAAAACTACAGAACAAAAATAACTACATTACAAAAGCTAATCGATGGCTAAATTTCAAATCACACGTCAGTCTGGCAGGCGTAGATCAGGTCACAATATTTTCTGCATTTCATCATAATCTGTAATCCAGAATATACTCTTTGGTCATTATATTTGATGAGGACCTAAATTCAGGTTGACCTTTACCTACAACCCATTCTTTAAGTGACGGTTTGAAGCTACAAGGGCATTGGAAAAAGTGTCTTAAAACCAGTACTGTTGTACAGCACCAATTGTCATTGCATCCTGACAGTCACATGATCAAAACCAGGCACCTGGTCATTTACATGTGTTTAGGACAGCTGCAGCATCCCAGATTCCAGTGATTGACATTTGCACCCTTCCTAACCAGCTTCCAACAAGCAAAGTCAATGGGGGAAGTGAATTCAAATAAAGTGCATGGTTCACTTCACAACTGCACTGAAGCATTTAATAATGGTGGCAAAGTCAGGTGCAACTCGTTTTAATAACCACCCTTCTTAGCAATGGAAAGCCTGGTCCCAATTTTGCTCATACAGTAGTGGCCAAAATTGTGGAAACCTTTTGGGGAAAGTGTATTTTTGAGGTTTGATGGCTAATAACACCACATTTTTGGGGGGGGAGTAACACCATAAAATTATATATCAATGGAAAGATAATTTAATCAAGAATGTAATGCAACAAAGTTTGTTCAATTATCTGTACTGTATTCTATGAAAAGTAATAGCCAAATAACCAGGAAAAAGGAAGCATAACTTGCTTAGGTTGATATCACGTAGCTTTCCTTCATCTGATTGTAGCCAATGAGCATGAGTGTTTAGAGAGCCAATCAGGGATCATCTTGTTTTGGCCATGAGCCAATCAGATCACAGTAGGATTCAGTTATTGATGTCCTGTATTGAAGCTGAGAGGAGGACATTTGTCAGTGTGTTATGTGATCGCTATCAAGTGGGTTGGGTTTTTTTGTGTTCTTTCATTTAGTGAGCTTGTAAAACGTAATAAAATTAAAGTCATGATGCAAAGAGTTGAGTGGTTGCCCAGAAAGCGATGTAAAATAGTATTTATTAAGCGAACAAGGCTACAGTTATAAAGAAATGAGAAGAAAAATGGGTGGAAACTTAACCAAAAGTGGCATTTCTACCGTACACTTTTCCCCAAAGGTTTCCACAATTTTGGCCACTACTGTAGGTCAAGGACAACTTGGAACAGATTCTTTGGATTATGAGCTTCCTAAATGATTTTCTTGAAACGTGGCGAGGAAACACCATCCTTTTCATTACTACTTAGGACAGTGATGGCGAACCTTTTAGAGACCGAGTGCCCAAACTGCAACCCAAAACCCACTTATGTAGCGTCGGGTGCCGGGTGGGCGTGGCACATTGGTGGGTGTGGCTTCGGTGATAACGGCAGACTGGGTGGGACTAAAAAGTTCAATCAATCAATTCCAACTTTGCGAGATCTTTTTTTTCCCCGCGAGAAGTTGAAATTGATTGATTGATTAAACCTTTTTTTTTTTTGCACACAACGGTGGAGGCCTAAAGCGAAAAGGTTTTATAAAACCCAGCTGAAGGCCTAGGACTGGGGCGACAGCGCGCGTGCCCACAGAGAGGGCTCTGAGTGCCACCTGTGGCACGCGTGCCATAGGTTTGCCACCATGGACTTAGGACCTAGTAATAATATCAATTTAGAGCAGAACAATCCTTGCCTCGTTAAAAAAAAAAAAAAATCAACGCAATCCGAAACGATTTGCAGCAGCTTACACTTCTCAAGGTAGAGAAAAGCCTGTTAGTAATCTTTACCGTTAACGTTGATCTGGCCTGGGGACTGAGGAACACCAACCAGTGTCACAGGATAGAGGCCAGATTCTGCAGGCAAAGAGAGAGCTGCGGGGAGAGATTCAAACTCAACTCCGCTGGTCAGCAGTCCCTGGGGACGTAAAAAGCAAATTCAATGTAATTCTCTTAAGCAAAAAGCATACTGAAGGTAAGACATTATATTAGGCACCTGCACACTTCTATGCTAAATAAAAGTATCCTTTAAAAATATTGGAATAGCTACATTATTAGGAATTGTAATCGCTATTCTTAATTTCCTTCTGACTGCTGAATCTTAAGGGCTTATTAGATGTATTTTATTGTACGTTATCTTGAGTACATGTGTAGAAAGCCATTCATATACATTATTCACAATTTAGTGCATTACCCGTAGAGCACCTGGCTGAAGGGAATGATGATGAGAAGACCCTGAAGTGCTGGCATTTGCATTGTCAGTTTCATCTTCAAAAAAAAAATAAAATCCCTTTTTAATATCATATTAGTTTATGCCACTCATATTGTTGATGTGCTAATTCTACCAACATTAGTAACTGTGATATCAAAGCTTTCTTGCAAGGCATAAAAAAAGTAAGATTTTATTCAAATGTAAATGTGGTATCAATACTATGTACAGGTACATGTGTTTATGTGTTTCATATACATTTGGGGGGGGAATCTTATTACAAGGTGAAACAGGTGTATTCTAATTCTTACCCAGAAGAAAAAGGATGAATCGGGAAAAACTACCTGATATAAATAGGTACAGCAACGTACTCTTCGAATATGTTAAGACTCTACAAAGAGTACAGAGAAGAGCAACAAAGATGATCAGGGGACTGGAGGCTAAAACATATAAGGAACGGTTGCCGGAATTTGGTATGTCTAGTTTAATGACGAGAAGGACGAGGGGGGACATGATAGCAGTGTTCCAATATCTCAGGGGCTGCCCCAAAGAAGAGAGAGAGTCAAGCTATTCTCCAAAGCGCCTGAAGGCAGGACAAGAAGCAATGGATGGAAACTTAATCAAAGAGAGAAGCAACCTAGAAGTAAGGAGAAATTTCCTGACAGCTAGAAAAATTAACCAGTGGAACAACCTGCCTCCAGAATCTGTGAACACTCCAACACTGGAAGTTTTTAAGAGACTGGACACGCATTTGTCTGAAATGGTATAGTGTTTCCTGCCTGAGTAGAAGGTTGGACTAGATGACCTCCAAGGTCCCTTCCAACTTCATTATTATTATTGTTGTGGTTATAAATATGGAATATATATATATGAAGACTGTGGATCTACTATCTCAAGATTTTTAAGAAGAGGCTGGACAGCCACTTCTTAGGGATGCTTTAATTGTTTTTCCTGCACATTGCAAGGGTTGGATTAAATGATCATTGCTATTCATTCCACGATTCTACGATTTTATGGTTCATCCTATTTGCAAACATGAGAAGAGTTATCTGAGTGAGAAGGTATTGTCCAATCTTACAATAATCACAGTAAAAGGCTTGTATTATATAATACCTTCACATTAAGCAGCACAGTCACAAAGTTTGGTTGTGAACCCTTTTCTAAGCAATCTCAATTATTCAAACAGTATATTATCTAGGCCCTACGTGGGTTCAACTTTAACCTCTTAACAGCATGCATTCATTTTTGTTCGCCTTGATTCTGAGGATAACTGCACAGCCACCCAACCGTCTGTGTTTTTAAACTGCTCAGTGAAGTTTGCAATACAGAATCCACTTTCCAAATTGAAATACATTCTGAAAATACAAATGCAAATGCAAATAGTGCCTCCCAGTCTCAATCAGTTCTGAAGGATGCTATGGCTGATGGTACCGAAAGTCACTGGGAGATAAACAAGTACATGGATGAATACACCACCCATGTCCTGGCTCTGCCACAGGTCATCAACAAGAGCGGCCAATTCTGTCTCTGCCCTGTATACCCTGGTCTGAAGACAGGCTGAAATTGGACAGGAGGCTGTCACAAAGAAAAAAGGGTCAACCTATTCTCCAAAGCAGCTGAAGGCAAGGCAAATGGATGGAAACTAATCAAAGAGAGAAACAACCTAGAACTAAGGAGAAATTTCCTGAGAGTGAGATCAATTAATCAGTGGAACAGCTTGCCACCAGAAGTTGTGGATGCTCCATCACTGGAGATTTTTAAGAAGAGACTGGACCATCATTTGTCTGGTATTTGTCTGGCCTCCCAGGCGGCCTTAACTATCCAGAAGGGGCCAAAACAGCATTTTTCAGTGTTGATCCAAACAGGTTAAAAATATGCGGTTCCTTTTAAACACAACTATATTAATACATGCCAGCCATTTCAGTTAACAGTAAGCTGAACCACCTCCCTTGTCCACGGAAGACTTGAGGAATATATTTTATACCTACGGTACAAAGACATGCATTTGACAAACGATTATGCCCTCTTTCAGGAAAGCAATATAAACATCACAAATAGGATCATCAATGTCGTTTGGTATGGAAAAAGTTTACATTCATCATCTTTCTTCAGAATTTTATTGGATTTTTCCCACTTTCTGATGTGTGGGGAAAAGGATAATTCATATTAATGTTAAAACCTTTCTCCCTAATATATTCATATGTATTATTTTCATAAAGCTGACAAAACGGTACATTTTTAAAAGATATAAAAAAAGACAAAGTAAAGCAGAATGTTTATGGCAATATGCACGCTAAAGATAATAATAATAATAATAATAATAATAATAATAATAATAATAATAATAAAACAAATAACAGCTATAGCCAGGAAAATCAGTAGATATGAAGCTCGAATTGCAAACTATAGGCAGAACCTCCAATTTCAATCCAATCAGAAACGTTTCTACCAATCCATCAATGGAGAAACTGCAAGGAATCAGTCAGTACCTGACAAGGAAGAAACAGTGCAGTTCTGGAAGCAGATATGGGATAACCCAAAGAAATACAACAAGGATGCGGCTTGGTTAAAAGAGGTGGATGCAAATAAAACAGAAGTTGAAATGAAAGAACTAGTAATAACAACAAAAATGGTAGAAAAAAGAGCAAAGAAAATCAAAAATTGGTCAGCACCAGGTGAAGATGAACTGCATGGGTTTTGGTTGAAACATCTAACTGTTATACACCCACTCATTGCCAAGCAGTTCAACAATATACTACAAGGAGGAGAAATTGAAAAGTGGCTAACAACTGGGAAAACCTACCTAATAATGAAAAATCCAGCAAAAGGGGCAACACCAGGTAACTACAGGCCAATTACCTGCTTACCAACAACTTTCAAATTACTAACTGGTGTGGTAGCTGATGCAGTACAACAGCATCTAGTTGAAAACAATCTCTTTCCACCTGAGCAGAAAGGAAACCGCCCCAATAGCAGAGGAACAAAAGATCAACTCCTAATAGACAAAATGATCTTGGAAAACTGCAAGAGAAGGAAGACCAACCTGAATGTGGCATGGATTGACTACAAAAAGGCATTTGACTCTCTGCCACATGATTGGATAATCAAGTGCCTAGAAATAACAGGAGTCAGTAGAAACATCAGAAAATTTGTGCAAAGATCGATGGCACAATGGAAGACACAGTTGCAGATCAATGGTGAGAAGCTGGGAGAGGTTAATATCAAGAGAGGAATATTTCAAGGAGATTCATTATCACCATTACTATTTGTTATTGCACTGTTTCCTCTGTCAACAATACTGAATAACTCAGGACATGGTTATCAAACATCAAAAACATCTGCTAGACTATCCCATCTCCTTTACATGGATGATCTGAAGCTGTATGGAAAAACGCCATCTGAAATAGAATCGCTGCTCAACACTGTCCGTATATATAGCCAAGATATTGTAATGGAGTTTGGCTTGGACAAATGTGCCACACTTACTATCAAACAAGGAAAAATAGTGAAAACTGAAGGAATCAAGATGCCCCACGAAAATAACATTAAGAGTCTGGATGAGGAAGAGTACTACAAATACTTGGGTATCCTTCAAGCTGACAACATCAAGCACACTGAAGTCAAGAAAAAGATTAGAGGTGAATACATCAAGAGAGTGAAGAAGATCTTAAAGTCCAAACTCAATGGAGGAAATACCATAAAGGCAATCAACACCTGGGCAATCCCAGTCATTAGGTACACAGCTGGAATAGTGGACTGGACTCAAGCAGAACTAAAAGCAATGGATAGGCAGACCAGAAAAATAATGACAATGAATCATGCCCTTCATCCACGCAGTGACATTGATAGACTTTATCTACCAAGGCAAATAGGTGGGCGTGGAATGCTACAAGTACATCAGATGGTTGAAGAAGAAAAAATGGCTTTGGAAGAATATCTGAAGAACAATGATGAAGATGCACTGAAATTAGTATATCAGGAAGGCTTACTAACTACTGGAGAGACCAAACTGGCCTACAAGAAAGACCAAATGAAGAACAGAATAGAGGCATGGGAAGACAAAGCACTACATGGCCAATACATTAAAAAAATAGCTGGGAAAGCAGATAATAATAAAACCTGGCAATGGCTAAGAGCAGGAAAATTGAAGAAAGAGACCGAGGGACTAATTCTGGCTGCACAAGACCAAGCCTTAAGGACAAATGCATACAAAGTCAAAATTGAGAAGACAGCAACAGACAGTAAGTGCCGCCTATGCAAAGAAGCTGAAGAAACAGTGGACCACTTGGTAAGCTGTTGCAAGAAGATTGCACAAACTGATTACAAGCAGCGGCATGACAAAGTAGCAACAATGGTGCATTGGAAGATCTGCAAAAAATATCATTTGCCTGTAAGCAAAAACTGGTGGGATCATAAAATAGAGAAAGTCATAGAAAATGATAAAATTAAACTGCTCTGGGACTTCAGAATTCAAACAGACAAGCACCTGCAACATAACACCCCAGACTTAACAATTGTCGATAAGAAAGACAAAAAAGTCTGGATAGTGGACGTGGCAGTGCCTGGAGACAGCAGAATAGAAGAGAAAGAACTGGAGAAGATAACAAAATACAAAGACCTACAAATAGAAATAGAAAGACTGTGGCAAAAGCAAGCAAGGGTAGTACCAATAGTCATAGGCTCCTTGGGTGCAATCCCAAAACAACTGGAGCACCACTTGAACACCATTGGCATTGACAAATTTGCTATTAGTCAATTGCAAAAGGCGGCCTTATTAGGAACTGCTTCCATCCTGCGACGATACCTGTAATACCATCAAACATCCACATCTGCCTATCCCAGGTCCTGGGTAAGGACTCGATAGGTAGACAAAATGCCAAATCCAGTCTGAACATCTGGCTGACTGTGCGATGATTGATAATAATAATAATAGTCAGGATGAGGAAGAATACTACAAATACTTGGGTATCCTTCAAGCTGACAACATCAAGCACACTGAAGTCAAGAAAAAGATTAGAGGTGAATACATCAAGAGAGTGAAGAAGATCTTAAAGTCCAAACTCAATGGAGCAAATACCATAAAGGCAATCAACACCTGGGCAATTCCAGTAATTAGGTACACAGCTGGAATAGTGGACTGGACTCAAGCAGAACTAAAAGCAATGGATAGGCAGACCAGAAAAATAATGACAATGAATCATGCCCTTCATCCACGCAGTGACATTGATAGACTTTATCTACCAAGGCAAATAGGTGGGCGTGGAATGCTACAAGTACATCAGATGGTTGAAGAAGAAAAAATGGCTTTGGAAGAATATCTGAAGAACAATGATGAAGATGCACTGAAATTAGTATATCAGGAAGGCTTACTAACTACTGGAGAGACCAAACTGGCCTACAAGAAAGACCAAATGAAGAACAGAATAGAGGCATGGGAAGACAAAGCACTACATGGCCAATACATGAAAAAAATAGCTGGGAAAGCAGATAATAATAAAACCTGGCAATGGCTAAGAGCAGGAAAATTGAAGAAAGAGACCGAGGGACTAATTCTGGCTGCACAAGACCAAGCCTTAAGGACAAATGCATACAAAGTCAAAATTGAGAAGACAGCAACAGACAGTAAGTGCCGCCTATGCAAAGAAGCTGAAGAAACAGTGGACCACTTGGTAAGCTGTTGCAAGAAGATTGCACAGACTGATTACAAGCAGCGACATGACAAAGTAGCAACAATGGTGCATTGGAAGATCTGCAAAAAATATCATTTGCCTGTAAGCAAAAACTGGTGGGATCATAAAATAGAGAAAGTCATAGAAAATGATAAAATTAAACTGCTCTGGGACTTCAGAATTCAAACAGACAAGCACCTGCAACATAACACCCCAGACTTAACAATTGTCGATAAGAAAGACAAAAAAGTCTGGATAGTGGACGTGGCAGTGCCTGGAGACAGCAGAATAGAAGAGAAAGAACTGGAGAAGATAACAAAATACAAAGACCTACAAATAGAAATAGAAAGACTGTGGCAAAAGCAAGCAAGGGTAGTACCAATAGTCATAGGCTCCTTGGGCGCAATCCCAAAACAACTGGAGCACCACTTGAACACCATTGGCATTGACAAATTTGCTATTAGTCAATTGCAAAAGGCGGCCTTATTAGGAACTGCTTCCATCCTGCGACGATACCTGTAATACCATCAAACATCTACTTCTGCCTATCCCAGGTCCTGGGTAAGGACTCGATAGGTAGACAAAATGCCAAATCCAGTCTGAACATCTGGCTGACTGTGCGATGATTGATAATAATAATAGTAATAATAGTAATACACGTACATCCGATGATTGAAGAAGAAAAAATGGCTTTGGAAGAATATCTGAAGAACAATGATGAAGATGCACTGAAATTAGTATATCAGGAAGGCTTACTGACTACTGGAGAGACCAAACTGGCCTACAAGAAAGACCAAATGAAGAACAGAATAGAGGCATGGGAAGACAAAGCACTACATGGCCAATACATTAAAAAAATAGCTGGGAAAGCAGATAATAATAAACCCTGGCAATGGCTAAGAGGAGGAAAATTGAAGAAAGAGACCGAGGGACTAATTCTGGCTGCACAAGACCAAGCCTTAAGGACAAATGCATATAAAGTCAAAATTGAGAAGACAGTAACAGACAGTAAGTGCCGCCTATGCAAAGAAGCTGAAGAAACAGTGGAGCACCTGGTAAGCTGTTGCAAGAAGATTGCACAGACTGACTACAAGCAGCGGCATGACAAAGTAGCAACAATGGTGCATTGGAAGATCTGCAAAAAATATCATTTGCCTGTAAGCAAAAACTGGTGGGATCATAAAATAGAGAAAGTCATAGAAAATGATAAAATTAAACTGCTCTGGGACTTCAGAATTCAAACAGACAAGCACCTGCAACATAACACCCCAGACTTAACAATTGTCGATAAGAAAGACAAAAAAGTCTGGATAGTGGACGTGGCAGTGCCTGGAGACAGCAGAATAGAAGAGAAAGAACTGGAGAAGATAACAAAATACAAAGACCTACAAATAGAAATAGAAAGACTGTGGCAAAAGCAAGCAAGGGTAGTACCAATAGTCATAGGCTCCTTGGGTGCAATCCCAAAACAACTGGAGCACCACTTGAACACCATTGGCATTGACAAATTCGCTATTAGTCAATTGCAAAAGGCGGCCTTACTAGGAACTGCTTCCATCCTGCGACGATATCTGTAATACCATCAAACATCCACATCTGCCTATCCCAGGTCCTGGGTAAGGACTCGATAGGTAGACAAAATGCCAAATCCAGTCTGAACATCTGGCTGACTGTGCGATGATCCATAATAATAATAAAGTTGGAAGGGACCTTGGAGGTCATCTAGTCCAACCCCCTGCTCAGGCAGGAAACCCTATACCCCTCAAGTACCAGAAGAGAGTTATCGTGTCCCCACAATCCTTTCCTTGGATAGCAATAGCCCTTAGACTTATATACCTCCCCTTTGTGTTTTACAGCAGGGGCCCCCACTCCGGGCCATGGGCCATTAGTAACTGGGCTGTGTAGTGGGCGAGCGTGCAGGTGCAGTTCCATCTGTGTTGTGAATTTTGCCCCGTTTTGCGACTTTTCTTGCTCCAGTTGTTGTGAATCATTGGAGTTGTTTAAGTTAGGGACACAGGTTGTTACCTAAGCTATACAGATGATACCACCCTAATGGCAGAAAGTGAAGAGGAACTAAAGAGCCTCTTGATGCGGGTGAAGAAGGAGAGTGGAAAAGTTGGCTTGAAACTCAACATTAAGAAAACCAAGATCAGGGCATCCGGCCCTCTCAATTCCTGGCAAATAGATGGGGAAGAAATGGAGGTAGTGACAGATTTTCTCTTCCTGGGCTCCAAGATCACCACAGATGGGGACTGCAGCCAAGAAATTAAAAGACGCTTGCTCCTGGGGAGGAAAGCTATGGCAAATTTAGACAGCATACTAAAAAGCAGAGACATCACCCTGCCAACAAAAGTGCGCATAGTCCAGGCCATGGTTTTCCCAGTTGCAATGGATGGCTGTGAAAGTTGGACCCTAAGAAAGGCTGAGCGACAAAGAATTGTGGCCTTTGAACTCTGGTGCTGGAGAAGACTCCTGCGAGTCCCCTGGACTGCAAGGCTGTCAAACCGGTCAGTCCTAGAAGAGATCAACCCCGACTGCTCTTTAGAAGGCCAGATCCTGAAGTTGAAACTCAAGTACTTTGGCCACCTAATGAGAAGGAAGGACTCACTGGAGAAGAGCCTGATGCTGGGAAAGATTGAGGGCAATAGAAGAAGGGGACGACAGAGAATGAGATGGCTGGAGGGAGTCACTGAAGTAGTAGGTGTGAATTTAAATGGACTCCAGAAGATGGTAGAGGACAGGAAGACCTGGAGGAACGTTGTCCATGGGGTCGTGATGGGTCGGACATGACTTCGCAACTAACAACACCAACATACTATGTAAACAATTATATAGTTGCTTGGTATTTACTTAAATAGTCACTGGCTGAAGAATTGTGGGAGTTGAAGTCCACAACTCATAAAAGCGCCAAGTTTGAAGACCCCTGACCTTAACTATGGCTATCACTGTCATTGATGCCAATGCTACCCGTCGCTAAACCCAAACTAGGCTTCATGGATGAAATAGGATCCAAAACATACCATATTTTCTACACGGAGTTCAAAGGGCATCGGATTGTACACCATCAGCTGAACTTCACAGACATCTCCCTGAACCCATTGAAAATCTACAGAAAGAAATAAACAGAAAATTAGTGTTCCAGAAAAGACACAAACTTAAGCAGACTTGGATATTGCAATCGCATATGGCTATAGCTTGTCACATAATATTCCAACATATAGGACAAGGGTTCCCAACGCCTGGTCGGCAGACTGGTACCGGGCCGGGCAAGCAGCGGGCAAACGCACGAAGCTCCATTTGTGCATGCTATGGGATTAGGTTGTACACGTGAAACCATGCCCTTCTCCCCACCCCCGCCGCCACCCCCGCCATCGCTGCTGATCTGCGAAAGTTTGGGGACTGCTGAAATAGCAATAGCACATAGACTTATATACCGCTTCACAATGCTTTTACAGCCCTCTCTAAGCAGTTTACAGAGTCACCGTGTTGCTCCCAACAATCTGGGTCCTCAGTTTACCAACCTCGGAAGGAAGGAAGACTTGAGTCAACCTTGAGCCGGTAAGAATCGAACTGCTGGCAGCCGGCAGTTAGCAGAATTAGCCTGAAATACTGCATTCTAACCACTGCGCCACCACGGCTCTTATAAGAGATACGATTTTCACAAAGCTGTTCTTAAGGGCAGGTATAAAAACGTTCCTTGGAAGCTGAGATTGTGTGCTTGTGGAGAAGGATCTATTGTATGTGTAGCCTGTGTTGTTATACTGTGCCATTTATAGACATAAAGGCTGCCTCATAACTTCCTATTTATCGACGTACCCACCAGAATTCTCATTTATTTTATGTACAATTGCAACCAGCATAATTCCATTACCTTGATAATGACACAGTGTTTTTATACTTTTTGTCAAACAACATGTCTTGATTGCCTCAATTATCCAATTACATTTTAAAGTTTAAATTAAAAAAAAAACCTTTAAAGATTGGATTTTATTTTATAAGAAACAGAAAATGTGTCTTTTTTTTTTTGCTAATGTCCAGATTTCTGGTTAATGATAGTAATAAATACCTTCCAAGCACTTGTAACTATTTTGGGCCTGTTCTCACTTTAGCAAACTTCTGCCAATAAATAAATAAATGATATTAGCGTAAACAGCATATGGCCTGAAACATCCATAATGTATGGTAAGCGTGAGTTTTGTTCACACTTTGCACACTGGAGATAAATTACTGAAACACATTAACACATACCTGTTATCTAGGCTAGAAAAGGCCATTTCTAATGAACATTATGCCATCTAGCATCTTTGCTCCAAAATTATCTTTAAGGGGTAAATTAAGCCCATCAATCTAACATTTGTCATGAATTACAGAAAGGCGAGGAAGAAACTTGATTGGGGAAGAGAAAGCACAGCCACAAATTTGTAACAGTGGTAGAATGAAAATCTTTATACACTTGATGCTATTGTTTTACCACAATGTATTGAGATCTACCAAGGGGTTACAGTTTTGAAAATTCATACAATAACTATCAGGGAATATTATGACATTGTTGGGGTTTTGGTGTTCTCTGCAAATACTTTGAAGATGTTACTTAGCCTGGTAATTGAAATGTCTACAGCAGTGGTTCTCAACCTTTCTAATGCCGTGACCCCATAATACAGTTCCCCATGTTGTGGTGACCCCCAAGTGGGTGTGGCCATCAATAAGAGGGAGTAGGACAGCTAGGGAAAAGGGAAAAAAATGGCAGACTGCGTGGTTTGGCGACCCCCGTGAAATGGTCATTTGACCCCAAATGGGGTCCCAACCCACAGGTTGAGAACCACTGGTCTATAGGGAGAAAGGCAAGCCTGGTCCACTGCGGAGGGCACGGTGGGGGGGGAGAAGGAGGCAGAGTATTTTACGGGTCCCATCAATTAGAGATTGTCATCTGATTGGACCATGAAAAATGACCTTCTTTATGGAACATCCTCCCCCCCCCCAACTGAGGTAGGTACATCTGATCCCCACCCTGCTGTTTTTTCCAAAAAGCCGTAGAAACATGGCTTTGTCAGCAGGCCTGGGGAACCACAAATGGAAATGGAGAGATCGAGTGGCTGATTTGATTGTGTTGTGACTGCCACTGGGGATAGAATGGGGTTTTTCTTTTTTCTTATATGATGGAATTTTTGTGAGGCATCCTATGTGTGAGTTAGGCGGTCATGTACGATAGATAGATAGATAGATAGATAGATAGATAGATAGATAGATAGATAGGTAGGTAGGTAGGTAGGTAGGTAGGTAGGTAGGTAGGTAGGTAGGTAGGTAGGTAGGTAGGTAGGTAGGTAGGTAGGTAGGTAGATAGTTGGATAAGTAGATAGATAGGTAAGTAGATGATAGAGATAGATAGATAGATAGATAGATAGATAGATAGATAGATAGATAGATAGATAGATAGACAGACAGACAGACAGACAGACAGACAGACAGACAGACAGACGACAGATATGTTAGGAGAGAGAGAGAGATAGGTAAGTAGATAGGTAAGTAGATGAGAGAGACAGACAGACAGACAGACAGACAGACAGACAGACAGACAGACAGACAGACAGACTTAGAAAACATATATATATCCTTCAGTATGGCATATTATGACATTAAGAAGTGAACACTATCCATATGGCTTATATAAACCACATTAACCGTCTCATTCTCAAAACCACCACAATAATTTTACAAGTCAAAAAATGGCTACATTCAAATAAAGCAATGGTAACCATTGGAAAAAATTGCCTAATTCCCTACCCTTGTGTATGTTCTGTCTTCCTTTACTGTAGCTGTAAATTTAAGCATAAGTGGGGGAAACTTTAGCTAGGCTCACTTGAAATGAACCAAGTTACTACATTTATGTTTTGACTTTGCCTAACTGAGTAACCATAATAAAAACTATTTTGGGATAGGATATGGCACTCAACTATTAATAAATATTTTAACTGTACACCGTCCAGGGTCACTCTTTGAGTGAGACGGGCAGTCTTCCAATTTGGTATAAAAATAAATATGAACAATTGAAAACAAACCTAATTTCATATTAATGTTGGAAGAGAGTTATACAATGTGGAAATCACTGCAGAAACTAATAAATACTTCTGTATTATAATGTCTGACCCAGGCTAATATCAGCCACTCAAGCTGCATATGGATTTTGAGAAACTAGAACTCAACTACCATCACTACCATTGAAATGAGGGCAAGTTAGCAAATTAGCATATGCCATATAACTTTATCAGTGAATGGGCATAATAATAAAAATGATAATTTATTAAATGCACATGCTGCCCAACTTCCAGCAGTTTACAAATTGTTAGAAACATTTAAAAAGTAAGCAGCAACAACAACAAAAAAAAACCCACAAAAGAAACACAGGTGGAAGAGGAAATAAACCTGAATGGGAACAAAGGAAAAAAAAAAAAGGGAGCATCAGTTATATGTATTACCAGACAGCAAAACTTAACTGTCTCAAGCACTAATGGTTTTACATAGCCTGGTAAAAGCTCTGTAAAACAGGAAAGCAAGCTGAGAGATCAAGAACAATTCAGCAGATCTCTCTATGAATTCACTTAAAGTATAATTAGATATATTTTTGTGCACATTTTTGGAACGCTTTTGGCAATGAGATAGAAAAGGAAGCCTATTTCCCAATCAGCAGGTATCTCAATTACAAAGTGTTTAAAGCATTTTTACACCCAAGACAGGACAGGCTGGAAGGAAATGGCAGAATTTGGAGTTGCGGTTTGAACACCACCTGTATTTAGATAATCTGGCAAAATACAATAGCAGCTGCGCACCAATTTGCCTTGTTTTAAAAAGAATGGCATAAGTAGGCTAGAAATAATGTTAATTTATTTCAGTAATCTAGGACCAATTTGTTCAGAAGGTCTAAATGCATTTCCAAAAATATAAAAAGAACACATTTTTGTGAAGAATTCTTACAGTCAATCTATAATTCTTCCACAACATATGGTAAATCAAGTTTCTTGTGAGAGTGGGCTAACAACATATCCTACAAACAAAGATGGGTATGATCTGTGCCAAGCTGTCAATTTTATAATCAAGAAGAGGAAATAGCATATTGATCCAGAAATTGGCAATAGCTATTTGGTTCAATTTGCAGCATAAAAGCCAGAAAACCAGTCCCAGTGAGAGAGACTGCATATAAAAACGAGAATGCAAGGTAAAAATAATGAGTATACGGAATCTGCTTCTCACCTATTTTTTTGCTCTGCTCCTCTCCATGATTGTGAGCGATTATTGGAGAATATATAAAGGGACTTTTCGTTGACATGTTCTCACCCAGCAGACTTTTCATTTTCTGTGGTCGAAGGCTAACAGGGAGGTTTAAGAGCTTGACAGATCTGTTCAACGAACAAGGGGTTGTTTTTAATGCCGAGCTGCTACAAATTTCGAATTTAGGAAAGACAATTACAATGACAGATACAATAGCATGGATCATCACAGGATAAACCCTAATTATAGTTTTTCTTTCCATTTGCCAGGATTTCTTTACCCACTTTTTATAAATTCCCTGTTGAAGAAGAGCCATAGGGTACAGCTTTTATGTAAAATGATAAGATACATAACAACATTAGAACTTCCTAGCAAACTCTGAGTAGAAACAGCGCATTAGTGAATTGGAAACCATAAGAACAATGAAGAAGAGCATCGTTCTCTTAATTCAACGTTACTTGAATCTAATCAGATGTAAAGCAGATCCAGTAAAATCGCCGAGACTCATTAAAAGGCAATGTTTCAAGGTCTACTCTAAACACAACTAAATATTGATTCAATGTACATTCAGTATTATTAATAAGATCAACTTCACTGGGCAAAGAAATGTACAAGAGACACAGAGCAATGCTAACCAAATGCATGCTTAAAGACTTAAGTCCTCACCACCACCTTAAAGACTTAAATCCTCACCACCACGTCCTGCCTCATCATAGGAGGGATGAGTGAAAACCCTAGGAGTGTACGCCCAGACTACAGGTAGTCTTCGACGTACAACAGTTCATTTGCTGACCGTTCAAAGTTACAACAACTCCGAAAAGTGTAACTTATGATTGTTTTTTTTACATTTACGATCTTTGCAGCATCCCCATGATCACGTGGTCAGAATTCAGACGCTTGGCAACTGCTTTATGCTCGTGACCTTTGCTGTGTCCCAAGATCATGTGATCACCTTCTGAGACCTTCTGACACGCAAAGTCACTGGGGAAGCCAGAATCACTTAACAACTGGCTTACTAACTTATCAACTGAAGTGATTCATTTAACAACGATGGCAAGAAATGCCGTAAAATGGGGCAAAGGTCACTTAACAAATGTCTCACTTAACAACAGAAATTTTGGGCTCAGTTGTGGTCGTACGTCGAGGACCAGCTGTATATTATTCCCAGCAGGGTCAACAAAAGTGGGAAGGACATTCCAGCTGCCCAATTAAACCAAGCAGATACTGGGCAGCAACAATATATAAAATGGATAGGATAGGACAGGACAGGACAGGATTCTTTATTGGCCAAGTAACTAAGGTTGGACACACAAGGAATTTGTCTTCGGTGCGTAAGCTCTCAGTGTACATACAAACAAAAAAGTGATAAGTCATAGAACATAAATCATAAGATACAATCATAAATAATAATAATAACAATAATAGTAATAGTAATAATAATAGTAAAGTTGGAAGGGACCTTGGAGGTCATCTAGTCCAACCCCCTGCTCAGGCAGGAAACCCTACACCATTTCAGACACATGGCTGTCCAGTCTTTTCTTAAAAACTTCCAGTGTTGGAGCATTCACTGCTTCTGGAGGCAGGTTGTTCCACTGATTAATTGTTCTCACTGTCAGGAAGTTTCTCCTTAGTTCTAGGTTGCTTCTCTCCTTGATTAGTTTCCACCCGTTGCTTCTTGTCCTGCCTTCAGGTGCTTTGGAAAATAGCTTGATTCCCTCTTCTTTATGGCAGCCCCTGAGATATTGGAATGCTGCTATCATGTCCCCCCTCATCCTTCCCCTCATTAAACTAGACATACCCAATTCCAGCAGCCATTCCTTATATGTTTTAGCCTCCAGTACCCTAATCATCTTTGTTGCTCTTCTCTGTACTCTTTCTAGAGTCTCAACATCTTTTTTACACTGTGGTGACCAAAACAAATCATACAACAATTGATAACTCATAATATACCAACAGGAGAAGGTAGTAGGAAAGATGAGAGGTGAGCAAGATGAGATGAGAAGGATGAGAAGATGACAAGTTTAATAGCAATACAGCTTACTACATGGGTAAATATCTTTGGGTAGAAGATACTGTAGGACAGTGGTGGCGAACCCATGGCACGGGTGCCAGAGGCGGCACTCAGAGCCCTCTCTGTGGGCACATGTGCCGTCGCCCCAGTCCTAGGCCTTCAGCTGGGTTTTATAAAACCTTTTCACTTCAGGCCTCCGCCGCCGTGGGCAAAGAAAAAAAAAAGGTTCAATCAATCAGTCAATTTCAACTTCTTGCAGCAAAAAAAAGATCTTGCAAAGTTGGAATGGATTGATTGAACTTTTTAGTCCCACCCAGTCTGCCATTACCACTGCAGACACGCCCACCCAATGGGCCACACCCACCCAATGGGCCACACCCATCTGACACCCGATGATGCATAAGTGGGTTTTGGGTTGCAGTTTGGGCACTCGGTCTCTAAAAGGTTCGGCATCACTGCTGTAGGAGTTAGGTATTTAACCGAGTGATGGCATGGGGGAAGAAACTACCTTTATGTCTACTTGTTTTGGCATGCAATGCCCTAGAGCGCCACCTTGAGGGGGGAAGTTGAAACAGTTATGTCCAGGATGTGAGCCGAAGTGACGCAGCAGTTAGAGTGCGGTACTGCAGGCCACTTTAGCTGACTGTGTTCAGCAGGTCAGCGGTTCAAATCTCACCGGCTCAAGGTTGACTCAGCCTTCCATCCTTCCGGGTTAGGTAAAATGAGGACCCAGATTGTTGGGGGCAATGTAAATATATATATACATTGCTTACTGGTGTATACCGCTTAGAGAGTGCTTGCACTTAAAGCGGTATATAAGTCTCATAAGTAGATAAATAAACAAACAAATAAATAAATAAATAAATAAATAAATGTGAGGGATCTGTAGATATTTTCTCAGCCCTTTTTCTGAGCCGTGCAGTCAGTATACAGGTCCTCAATGGAAAGCAGACTAGTCGCAATTGTTTCTTCTGCCGTCCTAACTATCCGTGAGGTCTGTACCTGTCTTGTTTGGTTCCTGTGCCAAACCAGGCACAAATGACAGACTCAATAATTCCTCTGTAAAACCGTTATCAGCAGATCCTGGGGCAATCTGAGCTTTCTGAGTTGACGCAGGAAGAACGTTCTTTCTTGTGTCTTTTTAACGACGGTTCTAAGGTTAGGGGTCCATTTCAAATCCTGGGAGATTATAGAATCCCAGAAATTGGACGGTCTCTAACTGTTGGTACCGTGTTGTCTAATATTGTATAAATAATAAATAAAAAGAAGACCAAACTGATGACAAGAGGTAGAACAACCATGCTTAGAACTGACAAGGTTCTCAAGCAGTCGACAGCTTCTGTCTTTCAATTATCAACAGTAATGAAACAAGCAGTCCAGAAATATGCTGTGGACTAGTGCTCGATACAAATCCTTGGAAAAGTATATTCAGGATGCTGTCAAATGTCTACAGCCACAAAGATCGGAAGAGTGCAAGCAATGGCGTTCCCTGTGACCTTCTATGAAGGCGAAAGTTAGACTTTGAAGAAGCCAAAGAGAACAATATTGAAATTTAAAGCTGGAAAAAGCTGCTGAAAATACCACGGGATAACCAGGAAAACAAGCCAACTGATCACCAAACAAATCAAACCCAAGTTCACACTCAAGGCACAAATGACCAGATTCAAATTATTCTACTTGGGATCTAACTCTTCGGAGCAGGCTCTAATGCAGAAAAAAGGAAGACTAGGATGCTTAGCAGCAAAGCGGATAGATTCAATTTCAGCAGAAATGGGTGCACCATTAGAAGACCTGAAAGATCAGGTTAAGGTACAGATGGCCCTGGAAAATAAAATCCATATGATAGGTGACAATGGACATTGATCTGATGGCACATAATCAATCAAAATTATTCCTAGCTTGGGATTTCCCACAAATTGGTCTGTTTTGTCACATGTATGGAGTACACGTGTGAGAAGAAAATAATTATATATAAAGAACTAGAAAGTATATGTGCTATTTTTAAAAAGTTCCAAAGTTGGAAGGGAGGGAGGCTAAAAATGAAAGAAATGGTAAGATTAAGTAATGTAAAGCTACACATATGTAAATATCACTCTATTAAGAAACTAACTGGTACATATACTTGCAGCAAATATTTTACAGCTTTCATCCACAACATGTCACAAAAATCATAGTTTACAGCTAACAGTTATAACACTTCATCTACTGATACCCATCCAACAGAGAAGATCAACTAGGACAGGGGTGTCAAACTGCTGGCCAGTGGGCCGGATGCATCATAGCGAAACCGCGCCCATCCCATTGCCAGCAATGGCAAAGAAGTCGGATATGTCGCAACACGTCACGTGATGTTGTGAGTTTGACACCCCTAAACTAGGAGGTTTTAAGCAACAATTTTCCAAACTATAGCATGTACTTAATAAATTTAAACCCAATACGAAAGAGGAGCACAGGATTTCCACAGAATAATCTACCATACAAGAAAGAAGAGAAGAGAAGAGAAGAGAAGAGAATAGAATAGAATAGAATAGAATAGAATAGAATAGAATAGAATAGAATAGAATAGAATAGAATAGAATAGAATAGAATAGAATAGAATAGAATAGAATAGAAAATATGGAGTGGAGTGGAATGGAAAGAATAGAAAATATGGAATGGAATGAAATATGGAATAGAATAGAATAGAATAGAATAGAATAGAATAGAATAGAATAGAATAGAATAGAATAGAATAGAATAGAATAGAATAAAAATATGGAGTGGAGTGAGGTGGAATAGAATAGAATAGAATAGAATAGAATAGAATAGAATAGAATAGAATAGAATAGAATAGAATAGAATAGAATAGAATAGAAAATATGGAGTGGAGGGGGTGGAATAGAATAGAATAGAATAGAATAGAATAGAATAGAATAGAATAGAATAGAATAGAATAGAATAGAATAGAATAGAATAGAATAAAATAGAATAAAAATATGGAGTGGAGTGAGGTGGAATAGAATAGAATAGAATAGAATAGAATAGAATAGAATAGAATAGAATAGAATAGAATAGAATAGAATAGAATAGAATAGAATAGAAAATATGGAGTGGAGGGGGTGGAATAGAATAGAATAGAATAGAATAGAATAGAATAGAATAGAATAGAATAGAATAGAATAGAATAGAATAGAATAGAATAGAATAGAAAATATGGAGTGGAGGGGGTGGAATAGAATAGAATAGAATAGAATAGAATAGAATAGAATAGAATAGAATAGAATAGAATAGAACAGAACTTCAAAAATAATGACATAAAATTCACAAGAGTGCTTCAAAACTGGCCTAGGTATCAACCCTACACCCATTTGCTGTTCTTTAAAGCAGCTTGTATTTTTCGATGTCTTCCTTAAAAAAAAAACACTTGAGTTAAGAAGGCGGTGATAACAGGGCAGCAACATCTACAAACAGACACACAATAATGCCACAGAATGCAAGAGGCGGTTTCAATTACCGCTTACAGAAGTTTCAATCTCCTCTGAACGGCACCTGCTTTTTACACAAGCGAATTCATCCTGAAACAGTTCACTGCCCTCAAGTCTAACGTCGTTCTCTGGTCCCCTCTCCAAGGAGGCCTATGTGACATATGATTCATTACTATATCATATCACCACGACGTAAAGGATGAAAACAGAAGTTACCTTACAATAGGAAGTTTAGTGAAGGGCACAGGGGGGAGCTTTAAGCCATCTGGAAGGGTAATGAATTCCATTGTTCCCGGACATTTTGACGTATAGTTTTCCAGACTTTGTGTCACATCTTTCTTTTCTAAAAGAAAACAGAATTCTCCTTACTATTGTACCAAATTATAAGAGGCTGCTTCCTATCCCACAAATGAAGTAGGAACAGAAATCACATGCTACGTAAGCAGATTAATACACGGCGTCCTTGACCACCATTGAGGTCAAAATTTCCACCACTCAGCAAGAGAGCGGTTAAATGGAGTTTTGCCCCATTTTATGACCTTTCTTGCCACAGTTGTTAAGTGAATCACTGCGGTTGTTAAGTGAAGTGTGTGTTCGTTAAGCAAATCTGGCTTCCTCCATTGGCTTGGCTTGTCGGAAGACGGTTGGGAAAGTTGCAAAGGATAATCACATGACCCAAGGATGCTGCTGCAACCGTCATAAATACAAGCCAAGTTGCCAAGTATCTGAATTCTTATCACGTTACTATGGGGATGATGCAATGGTCGTAACTGCAAAAAATGGTCATTAAGTCATTTTTTGTTTCCCCAGTGCTGTTGTAACCTCAAACAGTCACCGAACAAATGTACATCAAGAATTTTAAAAGCTGGGAAAGTCAGAAGAAGAAGAAGAAGAAGAAGAAGAAGAAGAAGAAGAAGAAGAAGAAGAAGAAGAAGAAGAAGAAGAAGAAGAAGAAGAAGAAGAAGAAGAGGAGGAGGAGGAGGAGGAGGAGAAAGAGAAGAAGAAGAAGAAGAAGAAGAAGAAGAAGAAGAAGAAGAAGAAGAAGAAGAAGAAGAAGAAGAAGAAGAAGAAGAAGAAGAAGAAGAAGAAGAAGAAGAAGAAGAAGAGAAAGAAAAAGAAAAAGAGGAAGAGGAAGAGAAAGAAGAAGAAGAAGAAGAAGAAGAAGAAGAAGAAGAAGAAGAAGAAGAAGAAGAAGAAGAAGAAGAAGAAGAAGAAGAAGAGAAAGAAAAAGAGAAAGAGGAAGAAGAAGAAGAAGAGGAAGAGGAAGAAGAAGAAGAAGAGAAAGAGAAAGAGAAAGAAAAAGAGGAAGAAGAAGAGAAGAAGAAGAAGAAGAAGAAGAAGAAGAAGAAGAAGAAGAAGAAGAAGAAGAAGAAGAAGAAGAAGAAGAATAAGAAGAAGAAGAAGAAGAAGAAGAAGAAGAAGAAGACTGAAAGGTATGGATCTCAAAAAAAAAAAAAACAGATTGCCATTTCTTTCTACCCTCAAAAGGTCTGTTGAGAAAGCATGCAAATATATATATATTCTGTTGCGTATTTCCAAGCTGTGGAAATCACAAATGAAGTAAAAGCCTCTTTCAGCCAGGCTCAGTTTGGAAATGATTATTTGAACTCTGGTTTTCGTGAGGCTGTAACTGGCTTAGTTTTTCATTTTAATTTACCTGTTACGTCTCCCTAGGTATCCTATGTGTGAAAATGCAAAGGGCGACAAGATCGAAAGAATGAGAGAGAGGACCAGATGAACCTATAATAGATGGCATGGTTTCCAAACTGAGGACTTGAAACAGAGGGTTGAAAGGGAAACCTTGGAACTTGAAAGTGAGAAAAGCAGCAGAAAACGGGAAGGTGCTTTCTTGAAACTCTTTCAGATACAGGCAGAGCATAAAGGTTGCAGCAATTTAATCTGACTGTCCAGGTCTGAATTTAGGACCTCATTAATGAAAACTTCAAGCAGTTGCTTGATTGCTAGAGTCAAGGTTCCAAGCCATACTGTCATCAACTCTGCTCTTAAAATCAAGTGCGGTAAAATGAAACATGCATCTATTCTTATCACACAGCCAACCTGATAAACCCTGGCTTATTTTATTCAGGATAAAGACATGTGTATTATATTAATACAGCAGACCTACCATTCCTCAACGGTCTCCAATTAAACCTGGTAGGTCTGTTCTACTGTCATCATGACCTTCCTTTAAGTTTACAGGGCACCATATGTTTGAACTTTTCCAGTTTCAGAATTTAATTTCATGTACCAGCTATGCAAAGCAATATCCTAATGTATCTCTTCATTGTGATTTTCTGGAAAGTAGTTGTTATACTTTAGAGCAGTGTTTCTCAACCTTGACCATTTTAAAGCATGTGGACTTCAACTCCCAGAATTCTGGGAGTTGAAGTCCACATGCCTTAAAATGGTCAAGGTTGAGAAACACTGCTTTAGAGGCTCTTATTTTTTTTTATTACTTCATTCTTCACCCACATCTATGTTATTTTAAAAAGGTGTATACCAACACTAATGCTTCAGGAAATTTGACAGCACAAAATGGACAATAGAAAGCAATCTGTTATGTCAAATGAAAATTTCATTTTGTCAACATCAAGGCACACATTATTGTTGTTTTCTCTCCCAGTATGCTGATCCTGGGGTGCATCTTGGTACTCTGAGGAGCTCTGGGACAAATTATAATCTTGACAAATTATAAAGTAATTTTGGTAGACATTTGGATCCAGTTTTACTTGTAGCCATATATGACATGGAACAAACATTTTTAAAAAAAAACTAGTAACAAATTAACCCCTTTTTGTGTTTAGGCAACTTGATACAACAGTTTGTTAAAACAGCAAAACTATGACAACTATTTTGCCTCCAAACCTTGCCCATCTACCTGAAAGTTCTACTTCGGCTTGGAGCTGAAACACAGATACAAAACTGCTGATACAAAAATACACTTTTGCCTAATGTAGGTTTTATTGATTTGTTTGATTTGTAGACCATGCATCACTGAAGACCCCTGACAGTGTATAAAATGTCAAAAAAATCTAGTAGCAAATTCCAACATACAACTTGCATTTTTCCCCCATTAAAATAGATAACACATAAACTATTCTTGTGGGAAGAGAATTGAAAAGTTTTTAATTAACGGTTAAACTTGTGTGCAATACTGACAATGCAATGCACTGCGTTGTCTCTTTGACAAGAGTCAAGTATGTTCCATTTTGAAAATAAGAAATAGCCAAAGGAGGCTTGCAATTTGGTCAGGAAAGCTAAGAGCAGAACTTGGCTTCCACCCAGCAACAGAAAACCAGAATCATACTAAACATTCTGCAGCTTTCGAATAGACCTAAAGTGGCTGATTGGCCATTATCATTTATAATATACATTTATATATATTATATATATATATATGAACAAAATGAATACCTTGGTCCGAAAGAAAATCCAGCATGGTTTGTAAAAGGAAAGATAAATGTCGGACGGAAAGTGCTGGGTTTCCCATTCTCCTGGAGGCATACACTAACTCATGAAGTAAACGCATCTGCACAGCAGCCCAACCACGATGAGTTCCTTTCAAAAGAGCAAAATAACACGTGTTGTGTTAATACATTCAATCTTCAATCAATCATGGCTTCCATATATGGGACTGACGTTGACAAGGTTACCAAATCCTACACTGAGGGCTATCCAAGGAGGGAGAGAGGGAGGAGAGAGGGAGGGAAGGAGAGGGAGAAAGAGGGAGAGAGAGGGAGAGAGAGGGAGGGAGAGAGAGAGAAAGAGAGAGAGAGAAAGAGAGAGATAGCGAGGGAGAGAGAGAAAGAGAGAGAGATAGCGAGGGAGAGAAAGAGAGAGAGAGAAAGAGAGATAGCGAGGGAGAGAAAGAGAGAGAGAAAAAGAGAAAGAGAGAGAGGGGGAGAGAGAGAGAAAGAGAGATAGCGAGGGAGAGAGAGAAAGAGAGAGATAGCGAGGGAGAGAAAGAGAGAGAGAGAGAGAAAGAGAGATGGGGAGGGAGAGAGAGAGGGGGGGGAGAGAGAGAGAACCTTTATTGTCATTTCTTACTGTGGACACACTGAAAATGAAATTTTGTTGCTTGCTCTCAGAAGTGTACACACATACATAACACACATTTAAACATGATATATACATGTCTAAATGTATCTAAACAACTTACTCCCTTATATCTAAATAACATAAAAATATTAATCATCTTGAATACATAGCGGAAAGAGGAAGCCTGAGAGTTCACAAGGTTAATACTCTATGGAACGAAACTGTGACTGAATCTGGATGGTCTGCTTCGGGTACCACGGAGCCCCCTCCTCCCAGAAGGGAACAAGGAAAACAGGTCGTGAAGAGGAGGTGTAGCGTCCCAGACAATCTTGCGGACCTTGCTCAAGCATCGTTTATGTGCCCCATCCGGGATGGGAGGGAACTGCCAATGATCTTTTCAGCCGTCCTCACCACTCTCTGCACCACCTTCCTGTCTGAAGCAGGGATGCTTCCAAACCAGACTGTGATGCTGTGTGACAGGATGCTCCCGATCGTCCCACTGTAGAAAGTGGTGAGGACAGGGGAAGGAAGATGTGCTTTTCTCAGGCGACGCAGAAAATGCAGGCACTTCTATGCCTTCTTCACCAGGGTCTCGCTGTTGAGCAACCAAGCCAGCCTACTTGTTAACTGCACACCCAGAATGTGATGCCGGTGATTCTCCACAGGAGAATCATTAATGCACAGAGTGTGGCTGTGCCTGTCTTTTCTGAAATTGACAATGATCTCTTTGGTTTTACTAATGTTTAAAATCAGGTTGTTTTTCTTAAACCAGTTCACCAAACTCTCAACCTCCTTGCGGTAAGCATCCTCATTGTTATCTTGAATAAGGCCCACTACTGAGATAAAATGAAAGGGTTGCATTTAGCTAGTACGGTAGCAAATAGGATTATCTTGTGATATAAAGTTTCTTAGCATTCCTAGTAGCAAGTCATCAGTGATCAGAAAGGGTTCCAAAGGTCGTCAATGCCACAATCCATAAACTTTAATCTACTGGGTTTTTTTTTTTATTCTCACTCATTTGACTTTTATTACATGAAAGCAAAAAAGTAAATCTTGGGTTTGTCGGCTTATTTCTCTCTAAGCCAAACCTGGTACCTTTGCTGAAGTCTTTAGGATCCAAAGATAGACTATAACCCGGAAGTGTTTCCAGAAGAAGTTTATAGCAGGCTCTCCAACCAGGGTCCACGATGCTTGGGGCCACACATTGCATTGCTGCCACTCGCTTGAAAAAAGCTGATTTGCGATGAAATCCAATTCGCTCGTAGAGCTCAGAAAGAACGCTGTAGCGCTGGATTTTTTCTTCTTCAGAAAGCTGAAATTTAAAAGAAAAAAACTGATTTTAAAAGAATTTGTTTAAAAGAACATATATGTGCATGTGTGTGTGTGTGTGTGTGTGTGTGTGGATAGATAGACAGACAAGAGAGGGGCAGGGAGGGAGAGAGAGAGAGAGAGAGAGAGAGAGAGAGAGAGAAGCAGGCAGCAAGGAAGGCAGACAGAAAGAGAGAGAGAGAGAGACTGATAGACAGACAGAATAGATAGCTAGATAGCTAGCTAGATAGCCAGCTAGCTAGATGATAGATAGATAGATAGATAGATAGATAGATAGATAGATAGATAGATAGATAGATAGATAGACAGACAGACAGACAGACAGACAGACAGACAAGAGGGGGGCAGGCAGGCAGGCAGACAGAGAGAAGCAGGCAGGAAGGTAGGCAGATAGACAGAGAGAGACAAATAGACAGACAGAATAGGTAGGTAGGTAGGTAGGTAGGTAGGTAGGTAGGTAGGTAGGTAGGTAGGCAGGCAGGCAGGCAGGCAGGCTGGCTGGCAGGCAGGCAGGCAGGCAGGCAGATATAGTCCTATAGCTAGACAGATGAATGGATAGACAGACAGACAGACAGACAGGATAGGTAGGTAGGTAGGCAGGTAGGCAGATAGCAAAAGGAAATAACATTTCACTCAGCAAACATTTAACATAAACAAATGACGTAGGAATGCTGGACAGACATTTCCACTTCAGGTATTTTCTCAGTGCAACCTAAAAAAACAGCAGTTTGTCTCTTCCAAAGTGTAAGTAACTGCAATAATAAATCATTTCAAATCTCTGTTCCAAACAAAGCATTGTGGTTTAAGACAAGCCACACTTCCCTATTGCTGCCGACTCTCTGAAATATGCCCCCCCCCCCGCTGAAGATTGGACTTACCCTGCTACGATTACCTTGTAGAAAGCATTTAAAACAAAGATTTTCCACACAGGTCCTTGAAGACTTTAAGATCTGCATTTCACTTCACATCCCATCATTAGGGAGCTATTTTAACATTTTACTAATTTGGGGAGAGTTGTTACAACGTGTACAGTTTGATCATTCGATTTCTAAACTTGCCTAGAGATGTGTGAGCGCAGCGGAAGAAAAATAAAAGTGGAAAACGTTCATCTGAAGTCTATCCAAAAATACTGCAGGAGCAGCTCTGTAAAACTGAACATAACTCGGTTACACTGCCAAAAGGAAAAAAAAAAAAAAAACAGAACAAGGCAGAACTTGCTGCTGGATTCTGAACATCTGTTATATGAGCAGCTGAGAAATAATTTTATAAAAATAACTGTACTTAGCATAGGAAAGTTACCTGTACATTGTAATACCAGATGAACATATTTTAACATTCTGCCAGAGTTTCATGGGATATTCCAGGGAGACAGACTGAATTCCATCTCTTATCAGATCAGCATCTGGCTTTTCAGGAGACTGTTTACAGATCCATAAAATTATAAGGATATTAACTATTTCTCAATACAAAAATGTTGTGTGGTCAGAAGTACGAAGGCAATTTGGAAATAAACCTCCGTTTGGTTATCAATGACAGACGCAGATACAGAATTTTTATTATGTACATTAGAAAACTACAAATTACATTATTTTTCGACAACCAGTGGAACAACCTGCCTCCAGAGAATGCTCCAACACTGGAAGTTTTTAAGAAGAGATTGGACAGCCATTTGTCCGAAATGGTGTAGGGTTTCCTGCTTGAGCAAGGGGTTGGACTCGATGACCTCCAAGGTCCCTTCCAACTTTTTATTATTATTATTACGGATCATCGCACAGTCAGCCAGATGTTCAGACTGGATTTGGCATTTTGTTTGGATTTGGACCTGGGATAGGCAGATGTGGATGTTTGATGGTATTACAGATATCGTCGTAGGATGGAAGCAGTTCCTAGTAAGGCCGCCTTTTGCAATTGACTAATAGCAAATTTGTCAATGCCAATGGTGTTCAGGTGGTGCTCCAGTTGTTTTGGGATTGTACCCAAGGATCCTATCACTGGGTGTATTATTATTATTATTATTATTACCATTCAAATTGAGGCATTGTCATAACGTCATACAAGGTTTGAAATTCTTTAGTCGTAGTCGCTCTGAGCCAAATCTGAGCTATGGATGTGTGTGTGTGATCAAAAACATCCCAATGGAACTGCTTCAAAAGTTCTTGGTGCATGTAGCGGTGTGCAGGCGAGCATTATCGGGAACCAACACCAGATTTGGCGCCGAGCGACTACTACAAAGGAACTTCAAACCTTGTATGACGTTATGACAAGGGCCTCAATTTGAATGGCAATAATGTCAAAAAGGAATGCAACATTGTAGTTTTCTAATGAGTATAATAAAAGTTCTGTATCTGCGAGTGTCTGTCATTGGTAATCAAACGGAGGTTTATTTCCAAATTGCCTTTGTATATCCCACTTTACAAAACCAGCTAGCTCTTTGAATGTAAAGCAGTATGTTCTTTTCTGCAGTGAAATACTCGGGTGCCCTGTATTAAGTGACAAACACATCCACTTTGAGATGGAAGCAAAATATGCCTTAGTTAAACAAAAGAGTGAAAGCTTTCTCATGACTACAGTAAAATGGAAATCCCAATCAGAAATTCCCTGAAAATGGGGAAGGAGGAGGAGGAGGAGGAGAAGGAGGAGGAGGAGGAGGAGGAGGGGAAAGAGGAGAAGGAGGAGAAGGAGAAGGAGAAGAAGGAGGAGGAGAAGAAGGAGGAGGGGAAGGAGAAAGAGGAGGGGAAGGAGGAGGAGGAGGAGAAAGAGGAGGGGAAGGAGAAGGAGAATGGGAATTAGGAGGAAAAGGAGGAGAAGGAGAAGAAGGAGGAGAAGGGGAAGGAGAAGGAGGAGGGGAAGGAGAAGGAGGAGGGGAAGGAGAGGGGGAGGGGAAGGAGAAGGAAGAGAAGGAGGAGGAGGAAGGAGAAGGAGGAGGGGAAAGAGGAGGGGAAGGAGGAGGGAAAGGAGAAGGAGAAGGAGGAGGAGAAGGAGAAGGAGAAGAAGGAGGAGGGGAAGGAGGAGAAGGAGAAAGAGAAAGAGAAGGAGAAGGAGGAGGGGAAGGAGGAGGAAGAGGAGGGGAAGGAGGAGAAGAGGAAGGAGAAGGAGTGGAAGGAGGAGGAGAAGGAGGAGGAGGAGGGGAAGGAGGAGGAGGAGAAGGAGGAGAAGGAAGAGGAGAAGGAGGAGGAGGAGGAGAAGGAGGAGGAGAAGGAGGAGGAGGAGGAGGGGAAAGAGGAGGAGGAAGAGAAGAAGGAGGAGGAGAAGGAGAATTATGTTATTTTGTTTTCCTACAGATTTAGAAGTGTATGCATCATCAATTCTTCAGCAAATAGTCCTTGCTTACAGCAGTTGCTCAGGGAGTACAAAAGCTCTTGCTGGGTATCAAAATATTACAAGTTCCCAAGCAACCAATACTGCAACCAACCCAGCAGTATTCCTGTTGTATCAACATCCCATTGGGTTGTTTAACCAGAGGTTGGGTGCATCCAAACCCAACAGGCTTCCCTTCACTCAGTCGATTCAAGCAGAGATTAGACTGCCATCTGCCTGGGATGCTTTAATTTGAATTCCTGCACTGAGCAGGAGGGTGGGATGCTATGATTCTGCCAGTCTATTTTTGTCGTGTAGCTATTCCAGTTAAAGACAGAAATAACTCTGCAAAAGAGAGTAAGCCCCCCCCCCCCAAAAGCAAAGCACTGTATTTAGATAATTTAAAAGTCTATCAAACAGTATGTTACATTGGTACTACGGTAGTCCAATCAGAGCATTAATCATTTTTATGATGCAACACTGCTGACCCCTAGTGTAAAATATAAGATACCAATGTAAAGCCTGCTATAAATTTTGTCGAAATATATCAAAAGGTTTTAATGAAAGTATTTTTGTAAAACAAAAGCGTAGTATGTTAATAACGAAGGAAGAATAACAAAGCAACAAAGATGATTAGGCTAAAACATATGAGGAACGGTTGCTGGAATTGGGCATGGCTGGTTTAACAAGAGAAGGACGAGGGGGGGACATGGTAGCCGTGTTCCAATATCTCAGGGGCTGCCCCAAAGAAGAGGGAGTCAAGCTATTCTCCAAAGCACCTTAGGCAGGACAAGAAGCAACGGATGGAAACTAATCAAGCAGAGAAGCAACCTAGAACTAAGGAGAAACTTCCTGACAGTTAGAACAATTAACCAATGGAACAACCTGCCTCCAGAAGCGGTGAATGCTCCAACACTGGAAGTTTTTAAGAAGAGCCTGGACAGCCATTTGTCTGAAATGGTATAGGGTTTCCTGCCTGGGCAGGGGGTTGGACTAGATGACCTCCAAGGTCCCTTCCAACTTTACTACTACTACTACTACTACTACTATTACTACTACTACTGTTGTTGTTGTAGTTGTTGTTAATTGGGTGAGGTTTGTAGTGGCCAACTTCCTTCTAATTCTTTAAAAGATGTTTTTTTTTAAAAAAAAAAGAGTTTTGTGGATAGGAACACCAAGCTAAGAGCCAGTAAGAACACAGCTCGTTGCCTACCTATACCTTACAAAATACACAATGGAAAAAGGGAGTTAAAGCTATATCAGGTCTGATGTAATGAAGGACAGAGCTGCTCAAAAGACATAAACAATTCAGAAAGAATCAGAAAGAATCAGTCCCCAGAGAAGATAAAGGAGAATGGAAGAATTGGGGAAGATCACAGTGGGACAGACCGGCTGGTAATAAAGAGATTCTGCTACACAGAGATCCCACGTCAGCCAAACAGTAACTGAGCTTGTAAAGTTACTCCTCAACTTACAGCGACTCATTGAGAGACCGTTCGAAATTAGAACGGCACTGAAAAAAAGAGACTTATGACCGTTTTTCACACTTGTGACCACTGCAGCATCCTCATGGTCACATGGAAGAAAATTCGCACGCCTGGCAATTGGCTCATATTTATGACGGTTGCCGTGTCCCAGGTCATGTGATCCCCTTTTGCGACCTTCTGATAAGCGAAGTCAACGGGGGAAGCCGGATTCACTTAACAACCGCGTGACTCGCTTAACTGCTGCAGTGATTCGCTTAACAACGGTGGCATGAAAGGTGCCACTTAACAACCATCCTGCTTAGCAACCAAAATTTTGGGCTCAACCGTAGTCATAAGTTGAGAACTACCTGCATGGAAAAGGTAGTAGTAGCAGAAAAGAAGTAATACAGAACTGGCACAAAGAGAAGAAAGAACAACCTCAGCACAAGGCGAATTAAACATTTGTCTCTTGTCTTCTTGAATTTCTTGAATTAGAAATGTCTTTTTGATCGAATGGCTTGGCTTTACCTTTTTTTTTTTTTTAGAAATTCAAATTTAAACCAGGCTTTTTAACATCCATCTGCTCCAGACTCTTCTCTAGTAAATTTTTTTTTTCCTTGTTTCAAAAAGAAATGCTGTTTGGCTTTCTAACAGAAAGGGATGGGGGCTGGAGAGCTTTCTAAAACAGACGCCTTCAGGTAAGTATCCTTACCTGTCCCAAAAAAGTATACAGTCTCAAAATCAGTCACTTAAATGTTGTGCATATCATGGTGATATGACTGCAGAACACGGCAACTGATTTTATTTATTTATTTATTTATTTATTTAAATTTATAATCCGCCCCACTCCCGCAGGACTCTGGGCGGCTAACAATAAAAACACCATTAAACATAACAAAACAAAACAATACAATAACATTCATCCAGGGGTCAGATTTTATAAACCCCAGGCCTGCCGGAAAAGCCAGGTCTTAAGCAACTTGCGGAAAACCAACAGGGTGGGAGCGGTCCTAATCTCCGGGGGGAGCTGGTTCCAAGACGTGGGCGCCATCACAGAGAAAGCCCTCCCCCACGGCCCCGCCAAATGGCACTGCTTGGCCGACGGGACCCGAAGGAGGCCCAGCCTGTGGGATCTAACCGGACAAAGGGAACTATGAGGTAGTAGGTGGTCTCGCAAATAGCCTGGCCCTGAGCCATATAGGGCTTTAAAGGTAATAACCAACACCTTGAATTGGACCCGGAGACCAATAGGCAACCAGTGCAGCTCATGGAGGATAGGTGTAATGCGGGTGTATCGAGGAGCACCCACTATCACTCACGCGGCTGCATTCTGATTATAAATGCAAGCCGGCTGCTAAGCCTGAAATGAGATCACGTGATGAGAAACTGTTGTAATTCCAAGGACAGGTTGTAAGTACCTTTTTTTTCCGGCAAAATGTGCCCATTTGGAAAAATGGACTCACTTAATCGCATGAACCGCTTCGCGGCCAACGAGGTTCACTTGAACTTCCTGACAGTGAGAACAATTACCCAGTGGAACAACCTGCCACAAGAAGCGGTGACTGCTCCAACACTGGACGTTTTTAAGAAGAGACTGGACAGCCATTTGTCCGAAATGGTGTAGGGTTCCCTGCTTGAGCAGAGGGCTGGACTCGATGACCTCCAAGGTCCCTTCCAACTTTATTACTATTACTACTAAAATCGAGTCTGGTCATCTGCTGCGTCAACGTTCAACTACAAAGGATTATGACGGAAATTCCGCGTTCCACTACAGTCCTGTCTAGTTGAGGGCTATCTGTACTGGGAATATCCGCAGGCTGGAGCTTGGGGCCTGGCCAGGACTGGCAGGCAGACTGTGCTGAATAGGGTTGGTATCCCAAAGCTGCTTTTTCAGGAGGCAACTTGTTTTTCTTTGAAGATGCTTCGCTTCTCATCCAAGAAGCTTCTTCAGCTCTTCAGACCTGAATGACTGAGAATCTCCATAGATAATAAATGTCACGCCCCGCGAGGCCTGGTCGCATCCAGCCTGGTCGGAGCTGACGCTAGCCGGTTACCTGCTCCTGTCACGCTGCCGCTGCTGCTCCCGGTGTTGCTGCCGCTGGTCTCCCATCGGGAACCGCCATCGCAACGCGCCTGCCGCAGATGACGTCATCAAGGTGCGTCTGGCTGTGATGACGTCATCAAGGCGTGCCAGGCCGCAAGGAAGGGCCTCTGAGAACGCCTCTCCGGGCTGACAAACTACCAGCTGCCACCGGCTGGTTCCAAGTGGCCGGGACGAGTCCACGGAGCCGCGACGGGTCGGTGGGCCGCAGCGGGCAGCAGGCATCGTCTGGTTGGTTGCCAAGCCGCTCTTAAGCATCGGACCAGGACGGACCAGAACGGACACAAGAATGGGTGGGGCTGGCGCTTGGGAATTGGATGGTAGCTGGGGCGGTAGGGTGGGGCCAGGCACGGGTGGGGCGGCTTTAGACGCTGGGAGCAAGTCACTTCCAGTGCTAACTTTGTTTCCAACCTCGCAATAAAGCTGCTGGTGGTCTACACGTTCCTGTTTACTGGCTTACGTGCTACGAAGCTCAAAGAGGACGGTCTAACAATAAGGTTGGTAGCATGCTCATTTGCTATGAATACACCAAGCCAGACTTGCCTATTATGTCTAAACTAGAGAAGCACTCAAGAATGTCTAAGAATAAGAATAAAGATCAGTTGCACATCAATATAAAGCTAAAAACACTTCTGAACCTAACAGCTTTTAAAAGATGATATATTATAATCATTTATTGGGGGCCATTGTATTCAAACTGATTAATATGCACATCACTTGTTCAAAATATATTGAAATGGCCCTATGATCTGTATTCTGTTACGTAAAATTAAAAGACCATCTACTTTTCAATATCTGAGGGTGAGATAAATGAAACCTGAAAGAGTTATATAACAAATAATGTATATCTGAAAAGCTAATAGTTAGTCCTCGACTTACAAGCCCAAAATTTCTGTTGTTAAGTGAGACATTTGTTAAGTGAGTTTTGCCCCGTTTTACGTCCTTGCTGGCCACAGTTGTTAAGTGAATCACTGCAGCTGTTAAGTTAATAACCATGGTTGTTAAGTGAATCTATGGCTGAATCTGAATGAATGAAACGTACTCTACGTGCAAAAAAAAACCAAAAGAAAATGGACATATAAATAGAGAATGTGGCATAATGATATTTCTGAAAACTCAGATATTATCTTTACAGAACGGCCTTTTGCAGGCATCAAGTTCCTCACTGTGCAAAATGAAGCACAGGACTAGAAAGACGTTTGGCCTAAATTATTAAGGTTCTTCTGTTCTTAAAAATAATTCAAAGACAGATGGAGAAATTAATTCCTAGCTAAAATGGAAAGTGTGTGCTCACCTGACGAAGGTTAATATAAACAGCATTTTGGAGGAATTCAGACGCTTCCATGCTTCTTTTCTGTATTGCAAGCACTCTCACCGCCTTTACACAAGCTTCCAGTTCGATAACACCAGCGTTTTTATACTAGAAGAAATAGATAATGGATTAAAATATTGGTCGACTGTATACTTCCTCATCACATTATACAATGTATTTCTATGTAAGAATCCTAGCCTCTTTGATATAATAGATCAAGCTATATTGCTCTACAACTCAATATGCATCTATTTTGCTGAGATGTAGTAGTCAGGGCTAAAACACAGTATCATTAACCAAGTCATATGGTTGCATCTATGGATACATAAAGAGCCACAAATTATAAAACCATTCTCTTATTTTTTATACCATTTGAATAATAATTCAAGTAATTCTATTGAGTAAAACAATTCAAGAAATGGCAGCCAAAATTCAGTTCAATTCCCTTCCTTCCTTCCATCTGAAATACTTCACTGTTCGTAAATTCTAATTATTCTTCTTTTTAATCATTTCATAATTTTCGCATACTTCTGAAAACAGAAAAAGAAGCCATATTGAAAAAGGCTTATTTACACTTTTACATCTTATTCTATTTTTTATTTCATGTATTTCAAAACGTAAGCCCATTCTTTCCTATGTTAACTCTTTTTGTGTTCCTTTAAAACAATATTAAAAAAATATTAGCTAGCCATTCTTTTTTTAAAACGGCATTTCAAAAAGGTAACGGGAAAAAAACTAAATTATGCATTTTTTTTCTGAAATGCCTGCATTTTCTTCCAGCCTTCTCATCTCTATATGTCGTATCCAATATCTTTTGTTTTTGTTTCCCAGTAAAATTCCATTTAATCTAGACATAATTATATTCCATTGTGTCACATTGCCACAACGCAAGACAAAGATTCCTCACAGCAGCATTTTTAGTAGCGTTGCTATAAATTCTGTCTCCAGAGTATTATGGAACCACAGTATTAAAAAAGGGAAAGCCTATGTGCAGACAATGCACAAAGCTAATCTACAGGTATGCCTGCTTAATAAGTACCGTATATGCCGCCGTATTAGGTGACCCGGCGTATAAGACGACCCCCGTCTTTATAGCCGGGCCACATTCCTAGAACGTCGTCTTATACGCCGGAAACTACCAGTATTTCCGGCGTATAAGATGACTCGGCGTATAAGACGACCCCCGTCTTTGGCGCCGATTTCAGCGCTCGCGGAAGTCGTCTTATACGCCGGCATTTACTGTATGCCTTTTTGGAGACAAATCACATCTATGGCACCAACTAGCTTGATTCCTCTCTTCCCAACCCTCACATTTATCTCTTCCCCTTTCAGCACACGAGTCAAAAAAGGAGGGCAATATTTGAAAAAAATGTACCTCTACTGCAAAACAAATACTCTTATTAATAATAAAAAACAGACACATTTCTCAAGAGATATATTAAATATATGAATGTGCAGCTCAACATCCTCTTAAACGTATTGCCTCTATCTTCTGATATTGTCACAAGCAAAAAAACAAGCAGCTTTAGCTTTTTTTCTTTTGATTAACAAAGTTTAGAACTATATCTGCGTTTTCTGTTATGGTTGCTGTGATCTGGTGGAAATATATTTATTTATTATATTTATACTTTGCTGCAATCCTGAAGGACTCTCAAGAGTTTATCAGAAGTGCAACAGACAAAATTTCTATGGCTGAAATAAAGCAAATAAATCTTGATCATGGCATAATCCCAAATGCCTTATAGCAGTGATGGCGAACCTTTTTTTTTATACACATTTTATTGTTTTTTTTTTAATTTTAACATCAAAGTACTCAGGAAAACACCGTGGTGAAAGGGTGATCAATCATAGCAAAACAAGTCATATATATATAACTAAAATTAATACCTTAAAAAAAGAAAAAAAAATTCCCCCCTCTATTTCCTCACATGATATAACAAATTTAGTTTAATCTATTTCTTCTTAAAATTCAATCAATCCACAGAAGCATCCCTACTATTACATCTACATAAATCACTCCTGCTTTTAAGCTCCACTAATTTCAATTAAAATATTCCAATTAATCTTAAACAAACATATTAATAAAATTTTGGGTATCCCTTCTACAACACATATAATATTCCAAGAATAACTTTCTAATATTTTCACATATATTCCATCTCTTAATTTAATACATCATTAATTAATACCCTTTCTTCTCTTGTCATAGATCTCTCTAATTCTTCTGCTATTACAAAATAGTTTTCTACATAAACAGAGTAGAAAACACACACACACACAAAAAAATCATTTCGGCCTGTTAAGTAAAATTTAACTCTCAACCAAATTAACTATCATATCTAAAACAAACATATTATTACACCAGTTATTATCTTACTGCTTTCATGTACGCAATTAGATTGTCAAATCAGTCCAAATTTCTAAAGCCTTTTTGACCCAATAATTAAGATTTTAAATCACATTTTTAAATCTAACTCTGGCTTTTTTTCTATATACCAAGCTGGTTTCCGTAATGTTTTATCTATGTCATCAAATCTCAGTATTTGAGTACTAATGTTTATCAACAAATCAATCTGGTGATGGCGAACCTTTGAGAGACCAAGTGCCCAAAACCTGCCTTGCCCACTGTCCCACCCCCACTCCGCACCCCGCCCCACCCGCGGGGCCACCCACCGCCATGGCTTGCAGCAGATCACCCAGGCGGCTCAACGGCACCATGGCCATGCCTTCCGCCTATGCCCGGCAACAGCAACATGACTGGGCACGAGGGCACCGTCTTGTCCCGGCTGCCATGTCCTGGCTGTGCTGCTCTGTGCAGGCCACACCCGGGGGCAACTCTCCACTGAGGGGGCTGCTAGTGAGGAATGGCCTGTGGGGGGAGGCAGGGCTAGGGCAATGGCATGTGTGCCCACAGAAAGGGCTCTGAGTGCCACCTCTGGCACACGTGTCATAGGTTCGCCACCACTGCCTTATAGAAAAGCTCGGGGGGGGGGGGTGTTTCTGCCTTAGCCTCCATCATCTCTTGAAATTGGAGAAGAAAATCCTAGTGACTTAAACTTTGCTTGGTAGTTGATTTGTTTCTCCAAACCACTTATTGTTAATCATAGTCTGGGCAAATTCAGGCAAAGATAATAAATCATTTCTATTTTTAAATGAAGATTCCAAATTCACTCCGGTAACTGGGACAAAATGGGGAACACAAAAGGACTGAGATAGCAACGACCCCCAAGATCTGATAAAAAAAAAATTGATAAACCATACATTTATGTTACTTCTCACTCCAAATAAACAAATAAACCTTTTTTTTTGCATTTGAGAATGAATCTAGAATTTCTCTTTAAAAAAAAAAACAATTTACACTGACATTCTTTAGCAAATGAAGCAACGGATGGAAACTGATCAAGGAGAGAAGCAACCTAGAACTAAGGAGAAACTCCCTGACAGTTAGAACAATTAACCAGTGGAACAACCTGCCTCCAGAAGCGGTAAATGCTCCAACACTGGAAGTTTTTAAGAAGAGACTGGACAGCCATTTGTCTGAAATGGTGTAGTGTTTCCTGCCCTGAGCAGGGGGTTGGACTAGATGAGCTCCAAGGTCCCTTCCAACATTATTATTATTATTATTATTATTATTATTATTATTATTATTATTATTATTATTATTATCATTATCATTATCAATATTATTATTATTATGGATCATCGTACAGTCAGCCACATGTTCAGACTGGATTTGGCATTTTGTCTGCCTATCGAGTCCTTACCCAGGACCTGGGATAGGCAAATGTGGATGTTTGATGGTATTACAGATATCATCGCAGGATGGAAGCAGTTCCTAGTAAGGCCGCCTTTTGCAATTGACTAATAGCGAATTTGTCAATGCCAATGGCGTTCAAGTGGTGCTCCAGTTGTTTTGGGATTGCACCCAAGGAGCCTATTACTATTAGTACTACCCTTGCTTGGTTTTGCCACAGTCTTTCTATTTCTATTTGTAGGTCTTTGTATTTTGTTATCTTCTCCAGTTCTTTCTCGTCTATTCTGCTGTCTCCAGGCACTGCCACGTCCACTATCCAGACTTTTTTGTCTTTCTTATCGACAATTGTTAAGTCTGGGGTGTTATGTTGCAGGTGCTTGTCTGTTTGAATTCTAAAATCCCAGAGCAGTTTAATTTTATCATTTTCTATGACTTTCTCTATTTTATGATCCCACCAGTTTTTGCTTACAGGCAAATGATATTTTATTATTAATTACTGTATAAAAATGAGCAGCTATGTAAAAAAGTGCTGGTTCATCCAATTAGCACTTCCACAAATCTCCAAATGTTCTTTAAGTCTATTATCAGTCATGTACGCTGCTGTGTAGAGTCCAGGAGTGGGAAACTATGATAACTTCACGCCCTATGGACTTCAACTCCCAGAATTCCTGAGCCAGCCACGGTCTATTATCATGGATGCACATTTATGATTCACCATATATAAGCTCACATTATAGCAACGTTTACCTTGCTGTAATAGGAAATAGCTTCTTTGTACTTCTCAATGATGTCTTCAGGGCTCAGACAATTCTTAGCTCGCCCTATTTCAGAACTTGTATCTGCACTGATGCCATTTGATGTGAGGGCCCCTGCATAAAATTAAAGCAGAACATTTCAACTCAACCACCACTCTCAGGTCAGAATAAAACAAAAATGTTTTGGAAATCCTTGCTAAGTCAAAAAAAAAAAAAAAAAAAAAGCTTGAGCAAAGAACAAACTAATCAGGGGGGGGGGTCTTTGGTGCTCTCGGAGCTTGGTTGCAGACATTGTTGTTGTTGTTATTAATTGCGAAGTCGTGTCCGACCCATCGCGACTCCATGGACAACGTTCCTCCAGGTCTTCCTGTCCTCTACCATCTTCTGGAGCCCATTTAAGTTCATACCTACTGCTTCAGTGACTCCATCCAGCCACCTCATTCTCTGTCGTCCCCTTCTTCTATTGCCCTCAATCTTTCCCAGCATCAGGCTCTTCTCCAGTGAGTCCTTCCTTCTCAGTAGGTGACCAAAGTATTTGAGTTTCAACTTCAGGATCTGGCCTTCTAAAGAGCAGTCGGGGTTGATCTCCTCTAGGACTGACCGGTTTGAACACCTTACAGTCCAAGGGACTTGCAGGAGTCTTCTCCAGCACCATAGTTCAAAGGCCTCAATTCTTTGGCGTTGCAGACATTAAATTAACCTAACTAAATACATCATCAGTGCTAGTGATCCTTAGTTCAACCCTGAGTTAAAATATATATATATACTCCTTTATTGGTACAAACTGATCAATTCAAAATGTAGTCAAAATGGCAGAGATCTTGAGATTTTTTTTTTCCAAAAAGTATTGAGTCATGCATTAAGCAAAACGAAAAATGTTTGAATTAAAGCTGGATGGATATATACTGTTTAAAAAGCCTAGAGAAAAACGTTCTGGCCAAATTAATAAACTGATACTCAACTCTTATATCTCTACTAACTTAATGTAATTATGCTATCGCTTCTCTTAGCTGCAGCAATTTACTGAAGGAAATGACTCCCGGCATTTTAGATGAATTTGCTATCATAAAAATTACAATTAAAAAAGTCGGATTCCAAATGGGGGAGGGGGGGAATGTGCCAGTCAGAACCATCTGAGCAAGGGAACAGGAAGAACCAATAGGAGCTCCCCGACAGAATTTGGCAGGGACTTCGGCGAAGCTCCCTAAAAAAAATTCCATCAAAGTCAACAGGCAGTCTGAGAATTAGGCTGAGAGCCTGAAAAAGGAACAAAAACTTTTAAGAAATAAAAGCGGGTAAGAGTCCTAATTTGTCCTAAAATACTTCTGGGACGTTAGTGTTCCTGCCTAAAATAGCGGATTTTAATAAAATCAAAGCAATAGTAAGTAGGGTTCCAGAGAGAGGGAAGCTAATGAGAAAAGAAAGTCAAGTTGAGTTCTTTAAAAACAACTTACCAAAAATTGCAATCTATTCCAGAGACTGAAAAATAGAGGATAGACAAAACAAGACACACAACGAAGAGAAGGACGAGGGGGGACATGATAGCAGGGGTCCAGTATCTCAGGGGCTGCTACAAAGAAGAGGGAGTCAAGCTATTTTCCAAGGCGCCAGAAGGCAGGACAAGAAGCAACGGATGGGAACTAATCAAGGAGAGAAGCAACCTGGAACTAAGGAGAAACTTCCTGACAGTTAGAACAATTAATCAATGGAACAACCTGCCTCCAGAAGCGGTGAATGCTCCAACACTGGAAGTTTTTAAGAAGAGACTGGGCAGCCATCTGTCCAAAATAATAATAATAATAATAATAATAATAATAATAATAATAATAATAATAGTAATAAAGTTGGAAGGGACCTTGGAGGTCTTCTAGTCCAACCCCCTGCTCAGGCAGGAAACCCTATACCATTTCGGACAAATGGCTGTCCAGTTTCTTCTTAAAAACTTCCAGTGTTGGAGTATTCACCACTTCTGGAGGCAGGTTGTTCCACTGGTTAATTGTGGTGTAGGGTTTCCTGCCTGAGCAGGGGGTTGGACTCGATGACCTCCAAGGTCCCTTCCATCATCATCATCATCATCATCATCATCATCATCATCATTATTATTATTATTATTATTATTATTATTATTATTACTACTACTATTATTATTATTAAGGAGATGGAAAGAGGTACATATCAACAAGAAAAAACTCAGATCTGTAGAGAGATTGTTAAGAAAGCTAAATCTGAGACTGAGTTCCTCAAAGCAACAAAAATAATCTTGTACACAGTATATTCAAAATCAAATAGTCAATATTCCAACTTCTTAATGTTGACGGTAACATTCTAATTGGCAGATTTGGGGTTATGTACTGGAATCTGCTGATTTTCTGATAGAATCTTTATGTATTATTTATGAGAAAGATGAAGTTCCAGATGAGGGAGAGAAACAAATCGTCTGGGCGAAATTAGGGAAAGAAAAGAATTGAAGGGGAAAAACTATACATCAGTCAGCATCAACATATGGGAAAGTTCTGGATCAGATCATAAAATAATTAAATTATAACTGAAAGACAATTACCAGAAGTCAACATAGATTATTAAAAAAAGATGAAGAAACGATTGGAGAAATTTTAAATGGGTAAGATTCTGGTCATCAGTGTGTGGTGTATATTTTTTGAAACACAGAAGTGAAATTTCTAAAGCACGTAGGCAGTGGAAAACTATTAATAAAACATTTGACTGACAAAACACAGTTATAAAGTCAATATACCTGGATCAATAAGAACTTCTTGTGCACCTAGGGGGGAAAAAATCAAAACAACAGTGTTAACCTTCTACATTGCCTAAATAAAACAGTGCCCAAAATTTTATTTTATTGTTTTATTTTAGTTACATTTTTCAAGCTCAGGTCAATATACATAATGCTCTCTCTTTCTATTTTTCCCCATAACAGCCCTTTGAATTTTATTGGGTTGAGAGAGTCTGTTTCCAAAACTCAAGGTAAAGTTGAACCTGAATTTCCTCACTGCCAGTCTAGCATCTTAATCACTACTGTATTATTCTTAATACAGGTAATCTTTGACTTACAACCAGTCATTTAATAATAGTAATAATAAATAAATAAATAAATAAATAAATAAATAAAAGGTTGGAAGGGACCTTGGAGGTCATCTAGTCCAACCCCCTGCTCAGGCAGGAAACCCTATACCATTTCAGACAAATGGCTGTCCAGTCTCTTCTTAAATATATATATATATATCGAGTTCCTTTAATTCTCTTCAGCCAAACTTACTCTTCTGAGATTTGAACCTGGGCTATCTGCATGTTAGGCAGTTGTTATAACCTCTAAGCCACAGACTCTCCTCACTTTGTCAGCTGTATCAGGAGAGAGACAGGGGGAGGAGATTTTTACCTTGAATGAACACCCTGTCAGCCCAAATATGGGAGAAAGAAATCTTCTTTCTTTTCTTTTCTTTTGCCTGTATCAGCTCAATCTAGAGCCATCCACAAGCAGCAGTCGCCAACTGCGACATCATTTTACATTTTTTAGGTTGCTAACAAAGACTAAAGAGAGAATGGTATAGCTATTTCGAGTTCCTTTAACTCTCTTCAGCCAAACTTACTCTTCTGAGATTCGAACCTGGGCTATCTGCATGTTAGGCAGTTGTTATAACCTCTAAGCCACAGGTTATCTTGCTATTTGATAAACCCTGTCGACCCAAATATGGAAGAAAGAAATAGCTATTCCAGTTCTCCTTTAATTCTTTGCTAGCAATCCAAATTTTAGAAATATATATATACACACACACACTCAACAACAAAAAAATGTCATTGCAATTTAAAGAACAACTACACAAGTTTTTGCTTACCAGGTCTGTGCCTGTTACCTGCCTCTGCGGAAAATGAACCTCCTTGCGCCCTGCGAGGCCCAAGTTTACCTCCAGTGCCTCCAGGATAGTGATAGATGACGGAAGCTGAACATAATCCTTCAAGAGCAGCTATAGATGAAAACAATACTTTTAATGGCAGTTTTATCGCAGCCGATTCATGTAATAAATATATTTCATTCAAGACAATCATACATCTAATAGAGTACATTAAATGCAAGGAATATAAAAAGCGGTCCAGGTACAAAGACTGCTACAAAGATTGACAAAGAATCGTAATATTCAGCTTTTCTTCTCTAGGAAGGCGGGCATGGCACTTATCTATGTACTCAGACAAGAGCTAATCACCTGGCCAAAAACAGAGGACATCGCTTTTTACAATGAATACGTCGTGGTTCTGACAGATGAAACTCTTCAAAAGAACTTCGAGGCATTGTTTATCTTAAAGAATCCTTTATTCGAGTAGCATAATATCAGCACTTCATAATCAAAGCCAAAAACTGAATTCCCTTCCCCTGGGCACATACCATATTTTCCGGCGTATCAGATGACTTGGCATATAAGACAACCCCCAACTTCGGAGACGAATTGCATGCTTTAGAAAGTTGTCATACGCCAGAAAATACGTAGTATCAAATCACAATTCCCTCCTCCAATTAACAGTCATAAATCACATTCCCCAATTAACTTGAAGCCCAGGCTTCCTCTCTAGTTTTCCAGCCCAATTCTTTATCAGCTCTGGGCTCAATAACCTTGATTCTCACACTAAGTTTAGTGTTGTTATGTCTAGCTAGACTCTCATTCACATCCCCCCTCCTCTAACTAATATCTAACTCTGAAAGCAAAAGGGAAAAAGATGGCTACATTTCCATCTGTTGTCAATGCAAAACATCCGATGCTGGCAGCGTTGACAGAATATATAAAATAATTTGGACGACGTTCTGCTTTCACATTAACAGCCATTTCCCCCAAAACTCAAGGGTCTGCAAGTTTTATTTCAGCACACTTTTTACTCTAAGAAATGTGGCTTGAATTTCTATCCCATATATTACAGGCAGTCCTTGCTTTAACAGTGGTGTTGACAGACGCAGCCAACTTTATGAATTTCCATCGCTGACCGATGCAGTCATCAAGGGCCAATGTTATGTGACTGCCCTGTTTAGCAACAGCCATCTCAGCAGTCCCTGTTTTCTTTGTTAAAGTGAGGATCATGGATGGTGAACGGAGGACCTCCTGGCAACTTCTAACAGCTACCAACAGCCAGGTAGGCAGGTATCTGGTTGCTGAGGTGCCCTGCAAGCACAACCACCAGGAGGGGCTACTGCAGAATAAGGCAGGGCATACAGGTGGCTGATGTGGTACTTATACATGCAAGGTTAGGGGTAGCTGCAATGGCACTGCACGAGTGTAGTTGGGTCAGAGGGTGGCTGTTGCAGGATATGCAAAAGCAGCCAGGTGGGCAGGCAAGCAGGCGTACGGGTGCGCACTACAGAGCATGGGATCTGTTACTCAGTAGCCAGACTCCTCGGGAGAAAAAGCCAGGGATATGAGAGCAAGTTTCTATAGCAAGTTGCAAAGCTTTCCCACTGATGCTGCTTGTGGGAAACCAGCAAGGAAGGTCACAAGTGGGGATTACACCGCCACGAGGTGTTTCAACATTTGTTAAGTGTTGGCCAGTTGCCAAGCAACTGGATCGTAACAACATGACCATGGGGGATGCTGAGATGTCTGGAATTTCAAGGACTGGTCGTAAGTGGTGGGATTCAGTTGGTCCACACTACTTTGGCAGAACCGGTAGCTAATTTTTTGTTGCCCAGGCCCAGAACGGACTTCCAGAAGCGGCATCCACGCACAGAGAACCGGTTGTTCACATATTTGAATCCCACCACTGGTCGCAAGTACCACTCATTCAACACCGCTGCAATTTTGAACAGTTCTGATTGAGTGGTCATTAACCAAAGGCTGCCAGTATAGTATTCCGTGTTCCATAATCCAAAAGCCCAGAGAACATCACAAAGTCTGTTCAAAGAAAACACAAACGAGGCGTTTGTTCTCTACTATTTTTCTGGAACAGTTCCCCTTCTCTGCCCAAAGGAAAGCCCCTGAGAATCACAAATTACTGCGATTTTTAGAGCCATATCTATTTTATTGTGACCCTTCATTAGTATTATTATTATTACTGCTTATGGTTAATAATTTATTAATTTATTTTATTTGTTTATTAAATTTCTACGTCCATCCCTATCATTAACGCAGCAATTCCGGATGGCTAATAATGTACACTTTAAATCGCAAACCGCCTTCCAATAAAATACAGCAATTAAATAACACGATAATATCTCAGAGGTCAGAGCCCCCCCCCAAAGCTTTCTAAATACAATTACGTTTTATTTCTAACGCTATCGTCCCTACCTCCGAGCCACAAAAAGTCATTTACAGAATGGAGAAGTTCCACAGCCATATGATAGTGAACAAAGGAATCTTGCAACATCCCGGCTTGTAGACAAAGGTCCCCAACATGTTTCCGCATACGACCCTGACATCGCTTTTTATAATGTCTAGGATACAAAAACAAACGGGACAGAATTAGTTCAATTGTGCTGTTCTGATAAAGAGTGTCTTTTTTTTTTTTCTTTAGTCGTCTCCTTGGGTTTGCATCTTACTGACAAGCAATCAAGAGTCCTCATCAAGAGCTCAGAAGCCTATTCCCAGCTATCAGAATACTCACTACAGGGCAGCAGTCCCCAACTTTTTGGGCACCAGGGACCGGTTTCATGGAAGACAATTTTTCCACGGACGGGGAGAAGGGAGGGAGCATATAACCTACATCCCACGCGTGTGCAGTTTCACTAGCCCGCTGCTCCCTTCCATCTTTAAGACCTGATTTCTAACAGGCCATGGACCGGTACCAGAAAATAAGATATTGTATTCTTGGAAACAAACCTGCAGCATGTACGCAGAATACTATCAATGACTTTCCCAGCATTTTTGTCTAAAAGTTCAACGTGGACCTCTTTAGCCATGGAATTGGGTGAACCTTTTAATGAATAACCTCTTCTCTTGAATAATCATCAAGCAGCACTCACTGTGTTGGCAAATAGAGGTATCCTATGACGATTAGGAAGATCGATGCTTAAAATAATTTCGGGTGGACTCAGTATGAATTCCAAGCTTAGTAGATGTTCCATGCTGACCCTTTTTTTATTACACCTTCTAAGGACAAAGTAGTTTGATGTTTGCAATCTTTGGAGAATGTCCAGTGACACGTCTTACTTAGGGCGTGCGCTTTCGTTCATGCACTGACAGTATTTAAATGATTTATACGATGTTGTATCATTCAATTGTGAACTAAAACTTCATTCCACGTCTTCGGATTAGGTGAGAGAAAATGGCATTTTTAAAATGGCAAGTTAACTTCTACCAATTTGAAAGTGTTATTTGCCTATAAATGAGAAAATTATTTCCTAAAAAAACTAATTATCTTTATGAATAGGTTCATTACACATTTTATGACACAGTTGATTTCCTCTCAATAGAATGATCGCCCTGTGTAAAATTTCAGTTTTATTACCGACTTCTATTGACAATTCATATTACAAGTTCTTATGGGTTGGGGGGGGGAAAATCACTAATACTGAAATACTGCAAAAATACGAGAGAAAAATAACAGTAGGTATACCTAAACCTGACAGTGAAGACAATTAACCAGTGGAACAACTTACCCCCAGAAATTGTGGGCGCTCCATCACTGGAAATTTTCAAAAAGAGACTAGACAATCTTACTGTCATGCTTATTCCTCTCTTAATGGAATTTTGAACTAAAATGAACATGCATGCATTATAATCTGTTAAGATAACTAAGGTAAAGAACACTTTCACTAAAAACTTGAGTGAATTAAGTCGGGTCAGCAAATTCTTCCTGTCAGTGGTGTATTATTATTAGATTTTGCTGCTCAAAGAAAGAAAATGATATACTTTTCAGGCATGTAATCATAAAGCTCCATTAACAGTGTCCTTGGCAAATCTGATTATTTTGCAACTCCAAGCCATTCAAACAGAAATTAAGTACAAATATCTGGTTACCACCAGATAATCTATAAAGTAAATCTTAATTTAAAAAGCAGAGGTATGCCTGAATGAATCAAATTACCCTAGAGATCTTCTCAAAACTCTTTATTTATAGCTGAGTGTAAATGCTGAGCTGAGATTCCATCTGCTCAGCTAAAAGACCAGCTTGATCTAGTAGAATCTTTCCCAGTAATGTTTTTTTTTTCAACTTAGTTGTTGCTCTCATCTAATTTTTATCCTCCTTTCCACCCAGTGGATACCCATCTAGAATGAGAACTGGAATTTAATGTCCTATTTTTCTTCTTTCCTCATAATCCTATTGGTTTTGTTATTCTGATCAGCAATAGGGTAGATCAGGGGTAGGCAACTTTGGCTCTTTTATGACTCATGGACTTCAACTCCCAGAATTCCTGAGCCAGCATGGCTGGCTCAGGAATTCTGGGAGTTGAAGTCCACGAGTCATAAAAGAGCCAAGGTTGCCTACCCTTGGGGTAGATGAACAGTTACAGCAGTGATGAGTGCATCGTTGAGAGACTAGAGCAGGGGTCTTCAAACTTGGCCCTTTTATGACTTGTGGACTTCAACTCCCAGAATTCCTCAGCCAGGCACTGGCTGAGGAATTCTGGGAGTTGAAGTTCACAAGTCATAAAAGGGCCAAGTTTGAAGACCCCTGGACTAGAAAGACCAGGTTAGGGATAAGCCTATCTACATGATCTTTAGGAATCGAAAATGACACAACGGCATATTAATCCACCAATTCCTCTTCAATGTAAAATTTAAGGTGAACAAATAAATATGTACACGAACACACACATATTTTTGATACAGACAACTCCAATGTCTTTTTCAGCTGAAGGATGGTTTAAAAACATAATACAATATTATGTAATCATCATATAATAAAATATAATAAAAGCCAAGACCAAAAAGAGTGGACTGCAAAAAAAGGATTTTATTTGAATAAGCACTCAATAGTTACCTAAGCATGGTAAAGAAAAATTAACAAACAGGAGCAGAGAATTGAGGGTACATAAAAAGCACATTGGGTGAAATTCTTGTTGAATTCTTCTTCAAGATTAAAACAAAAAAACAAAAAAACACAGAACTAGAAAAACATGCAATGAGAAGAAATCAACTGGGTCCAAATGACAAAACAGTAGCTGGCAATTATACAAGTGAGTCTGAACCTTACCGTTTCCAGTTTCTTTGATTTATTTATTAGATTTGTTAGATTTTTTTTTCTCCTGCATCTATTATTTTATAAATAACTCAAAGCAGCAAAATGTATATTGCTTTCTCTTTCTATTTTCCCCACAACAACTCTTTGATGTGAGTTGGGCTCAGAGAGAGGGATTAAACCAAAATCACCAGGTTGTATAAATATTTATAGAAGTATATACGGAGAAGGTTAGATGAACAGAAGTATTAATGTAAGAGAAAATTAATCTTATTGTATACAATACAGAGAGGAAAATTTGGAGAGAGGAGTTGCTCGGACATTACCTCTGAATTGTATCTGAAGAGGGATGAAAGGGAAGAAAGGAGAGGAGAGAGAAAAGAGTAAAGGAGGGGAGAAGGAAGTAGGAAAGTTGGAGGAAAAGAGAAGTGGGGAGAAAGGGGAGGAGAGTGGTGAAGGAAAGAGAAGAGGAGAAGAAGAAGAGGGAAGTAGGGAAGAGAAGAAAGGGAGAAAGAAGGTAGAGAAGAAGGAGTGTGGATACAGTGAAAGGGGAAATGGGCTAGGAACACCAAAAGTCATGTGTATGTATTTATTTCATTTTATTAAAAGTATCTTATATATGAACGTTAAAAGAATGTATGTTAACATCTGATAAATACCACGGTACATGTATGGGGGAGAGTTTGGAAAAATAAAAAAAAATATTTAAAAAAAGAGAGAGGGATTAAAGCAAAATCACCAACCAATTGATGCCTAAACCAAGACTAGAAATCATAGTTCTCTGTTTCTAGGCCAGCACCTTAAGCACTACATCAACCTGGCTCTCTTTGCTTGTCAAACCAGAATTAGAAACTACATTTTGATGACAATTGCCAATATTTTTCAAGAAAATTATGAGTTGTGTTATGCCTACTCGAAAGGAATATGGGATAAGGACGCCTGTTCACTCCATAGCACAGGATGAGAGTGAGCAGGCTGGAACAAAACCCAATAAATTGAAGACAAAGATTCAGGACTTGAATTATTACAAGGAATTCATCTTTTACCCACATGTGAAAGAGAAGCCAAAATCCCACCAAATTCTAAGAAATACAGGTCAAAAGATAATATCCCATGAGTAATAGGGATTTACTCGGGAATTATCTACCATTCATGAAAGTATACATCTTGAATACATGCAAAGCCAATGCTGTGAGCAGCTCTTTTTTATGGAAACAGTGTCTAAAATTCTAGACAAACCAACGACCCAATATTTAGGGCCGTGATTTTATCTGATGCTTTATCTTCTATGTATGAAAAGCCAAGCTTCTGAATCAGCTGTGAGCTATTGATTTTCTGCATTACTGGCACGGTTAGTAGCTTGCTATACACAAGCTTACCATAAAAAAAAAAAATCAGTAAAGTGCAAAGAGATGAAGGCAAATGCAAACCCAAAATTAACTCCCATTGTTTGGCATTACATCTGAACCAGCCAAGTACGACGGTGCATTTTGTATCCTGCAAGGGATATGAAATTGTTCTCCATACATAGAAGTATAATCACAAATTCCAATGCAGCCATTTCCTTAATGGACTGATGTGATCTTTTACAATAGCCAGAAATGTTTAATATGTATCAATCATTCCTAAACTGGAATGAACGATAAGTATTAAATTGAACAATCAGGAAGTCATTAAACATCATTGCATCTTCCAAGAAAAAAAAAGGCATGCAAAAATGAATTAGTGAAGATCTGTATGTCAAAAATTACAAAACAAATGCCCACTCAATTCAAGGTAAGATCACATGCTTAGCTAAATGACTGACAACTGTAACATCACTCAGGCTTCTGAAAGCCAGCAACAGTTACTCTAGGCCAGGGGTAGGCAACCTTGGCTCTTTTATGACTCGTGGATTTCAACTCCTAGAATTCCTGAGCCAGCCAAGCTGGCTCAGGAATTCTGGGAGTTGAAGTCCACGAGTCATAAAAGAGCCAAGGTTGTCTACCCCTGCTCTAGGCTGAAGTAATCTTTTCAGTTTGAAAGTAAACAAGCGGAAACTTAACATTTGTTGTAAAATTTGAAACCAAGAAACAAAATAAATGCAAAACCAGCAAGTATCAAAAGATACATTACTTTACTACAACATTTTAATCTCCAACTCAACAAGGCAAATATGTGAAGAAAAGTACTGTCAAAAACCTTTGACGAATGTCAAAAGAATGAGAAGCACAATGGAAATTCAGGCAGCAGCAATCAATTGCCATTTAAATAAAAATTGCCGTATTATAGGAAGGCACACAAATGCAACATTACATTGTTCAGTAGTGGCAAAATAAGAAGGCAGCATACAAAAACTAGCCAGTTTTAAACAATACAATGTGATCAAAGGCCTACCTTTTGAGACCCAAAAACACACTCACAGGGCAGTATGAGAGGAAAAAAAAACAAGAAAGAAGAAAAGAAGGAACAAAACAAAATTAGAGACATACAGGAATAGAAAAAAAATAAATAGCCACATATAGACAGATCTAACAAAGTTTATTTAATAACATATTACATTAAATCGTGTCCCGAGTATGATATTCAATTATTTTTCATCATGATGTGGAGAGTAGAAAGCAATGACTGGTGCTGTATCACGTTATGTTTCCAACATTATTAATGATTAGTATGCCATCTCATAAAAGCTAGATAAATAATAATAATTCCCTTCGCACTCTAACAGGTGGTATGTGTCTTCCTCAATCTCAGGTCTCCAACAGGTCCTCAGGCCTGCGAGTTTGAGGTTTCTATGCAGTATCTTAGCTGTTCTTTGTACTGGATAGAGAGCTACGATGTCATTCCTGGGATCTGTTGGAACCACTCTCCCTGCTTAGGAAGGAAAGCCCCGAATGCTCCTATCACCATTGGAATTAATCAAGGAGAGAAGCAACCTAGAACTAAGGAGAAACTTCCTGACAGTGAGAACAATTAATCAGTGGAACAGCCTGCCTCTAGAAATGTGAATGCTCCAACACTGGAAGTTTTTAAAAAGAGACTGGACAGCCGTTTGTCCGAAATGGTGTAGGGTTTCCTGCCTGAGCAGGGGGTTGGACTAGATGACCTCCATGGTCCCTTCCAACTTTACTACTATTACTACTTTGGCCTTGGCTTTTCCACATCTGCTCTAGTTCTCCTTCAGGTCCTGGTATTTCTCCAGCTTCTCATACTCCTTCTTCATGTTCCTGTCACTTAACACTGCTACCTCGATCTCTACCATTGTTTTCTGGTTCTTGTCTACGACCACAATGCCTGTTGATTGGGCAGTACCTGCCTGTCAGTCTGGATCTGGAAGTCCCATAGGATCTTAGCTTTCTTATTCCCCACAATCCCAAAGGTTGTTTTTTTCAAAAGATGATGTTTTGCTTCTCAGCCAAGAAGCTCCTTCAGTTCTTCAGCTTCTTGGATGAGAAGTAAAACGTCTTCAAGGGAAAAAAAACAAAGTCCAGTTGCCTTTTGAAAAAGCACCTTTGGGACAACCATCACCTGGATGACTGGGAATCTGCACAGATATTCCCCACAATGCTTTGTGGGATCTCCCATCTAAACTTAGAAAGGCATGGCCTGTGTTTCTGTACACAATACCAGTTAGTTGGTTGTGATGTTCAGTATACACTGTTCCTGCTGCATCTTACACCGTCACTATGTGTTGGACTGTCTCTGAGGCCTCTCTGCATAGCCTGCAGCTTGGGTCCTGTCTAGTGTGGTAGACCCTGCTTCTATGGATCTGGAGCTTAGTGCTTGTGCTGCTATTAGGGACCTTGAGGTAATCGAGTCCAACCTCCTGCTCAGGCAGGAACCCTACACCATTTCAGAAAATGGCTGTTCAGTCTCTTCTTAAAAACTTCCAGTGTTGGAGCATTCACCACTTCTGGAGGCAGGTTGTTCCACTGGTTAATTGTTCTGTCAGGAAGTTTCTCCTTAATTCTAGGTTGCTTCTCTCCTTGATCAGTTTCCATCCATTGCTTTTCGTCCTGCCTTCAGGCGCCTTGGAGAATAGCTTGACTCCCTCTTCCTTGGGGCAGCCCCTGAGATATTGGAACACTGCTATCATGTCCCCCCTCGTCCTTCTCTTCGTTAAACTAGACATACCCAATTCCAGCAACCGTTCCTTATATGTTTTAGCCTCCAGTCCCCTAATCAGCTTTGTTGCTCTTCTCTGTACTCTTTCTAAAGTCTCAGCATCTTATTATATATATATATATATATATATATATATATATATATATTTAGGTTGCTAACAAAGAATAAAGAGAGAATGGTATAGCTATTTCGAGTTCCTTTAACTCTCTTCAGCCAAACTTACTCTTCTGAGATTCGAACCTGGGCTATCTGCATGTTAGGCAGATGTTATAACCTCTAAGCCACAGGCTCTCCTCACTTTGTCAGCTGTATCAGGAGAGAGACAGGGGGAGGGGATTTTTACCTTGAATGAACACCCTGTCAGCCCAAATATGAGAGAAAGAAATCTTCTTTCTTTTCTTTTCTTTTGCCTGTATCAGCTCAATCTAGAGCCATCTACAAGCAGCAGTCGCCAACTGCGACATCATTTTTACATTTTTAGGTTGCTAACAAAGAATAAAGAGAGAATGGTATAGCTATTTCGAGTTCCTTTAACTCTCTTCAGCCAAACTTACTCTTCTGAGATTCGAACCTGGGCTATCTGCATGTTAGGCAGATGTTATAACCTCTAAGCCACAGGCTCTCCTCACTTTGTCAGCTGTATATTATATTATATTATATTATATTATATTATATTATATTATATTATATTATATTATAATCTTATCTTATCTTATCTTATCTTATATTATTATATTATATTATCTTATCTTATCATCTCATCTCATCTCATCTCATCTCATCTCATCTCATCTCATATTATATTATATTATATTATCTTTATTATATTATCTTATCTTATCTTATCTTATCTTATCTTATCATCTTATCTTATCTTATCTTATCTTATATTATATTATATTTATTATATTATATTATATTATATTATATTATATTATATTATATTATATTATTTCTCAACATGCACACACCCAGGAGTCATTCTTTTATCTTTAGCATTATTTCATATATATATATATATATATACATAAAAAGTGGAAAATAGAAAAATTATCTAATTTCCATTACAGTAATTAAGAAAATAAGAGCTAGAGTAAAGCTTCCAAATTAAGAATGTTGGTACAGTCAATGACATGGTGGTAACGATTCAATTCTCACACTAGTGCTGAGCATAAATTAAATTGCATCTTTTGGGTGTTCGTGTTTCCTAGAAATGAACAAAATCCCCACCTTTGCTTTTCTTTAGAAATGTGATTAAAACTCTTGCTAGGTCATTTAATCTATTCTGGAAGCAACTTTGTAGAATTGTTAAGAATGATTTATCTATGAATGATGATATAGTATATTCACCAAAAAATGTACAATGCATTCTTAGCGGTCTGAACAGAAAAGAAACAGTGGCAAGTTAAAAAATTTCTACTTCAGCACCATGGACAGCGGGATACCAAGAAATGCTTAAAAATGATGCACACACCAATATCAATCACATCATAACACTGCTTTCAAAAGCCCCACTGATTTCAAAATATTTATTTTGAAATATGGAAGAATACTGTTGGAGAGGTGGGATCTAGAGTGAAATCCTTACAGAACTAATTTTATTGTTGTTTGTATTCAAGGCAGTATCATCAATAGGAGCATACCTTTGAAATGAGAAAGAAAAGCGCATTGATCAGAAAGCATAAATTTCAGAATATTTGTAGAATTAGGCTCAGCTTCAAATTTCTGAGTTTCTGAGCAGGAACTGCAAGCATAAACAATAGGGTTCTGGATTCAAAGGGATAAGAACACTTAGAAGCCTACGAGGGGCACACAACTATCAGGAAACCAATGTTTAAACCAAACATAGAGGGAAATTGCATGATCCTAAGAAAAGACAAAGCTGCTTTTGAGAGCCACTGCTTTACTACCATGCGTACACCCATCTATTTTGTTGTCCTCAAATTCAAAGTACAGACCAAATAAATAAATAAATAAATAGACGGGATATGCGCATATTCACACATATTGAAAAGAGAACTCTTAGAATTGTAACTATTTTAAAAGAAAATTCTGCAAAGAAATACAGTTTCTTAAAGTTTATCAAGATCTTGGATCAAAACAGACAAATTAACCAGAGTTACACACTGAAGTTAAAAAAAAAAAAAAAGCACAGTTGCACATAGCTACTGCATAATTAACGTTATAGCTGCATTTTATTTCTATTTCTATCACAACAGCCTCAGCTCCAACTTTTCTCAGTGGTTAGATCCTTTCCACAGAAGCTAAGCAAGCATTCTGCCTTTAGGATAAGCTCTCAAAAGCCGCTTGCTCTGTAGTTGTGCTAGCACTGTAGTAAACAGAAACAAACTGAATCTATACAGGGCTACTAAACTTCGGCAAACATAGAATACTTCCATAATATCCTTATCTGCAGGGAAGAACATATTCATTATATGAATGACATTTAATGCTCAAAATAATGTAATTTATTTTTGACTGAGTGTAATGGGCAACCAATCAAGAAAGAAAGAAACCAATCAAGGTAATCAAAGTAGAGAGGATGGGTTAGCATATTAGAAAATGGCAAATTATATTATGGTTTAATAGTACGACTGACCTGCTCACTGCAAACTGTGTAGATCTAGTACTTATTTGTATGCATAACATTTTAATCACATCTAACGATATAAATTTACCAAAGGATGCTTCTCATCCTACTTATACAAAGCATTCCATTAGACAGATTGCAAACCCTTGGTAATGTGGGAATAATTTCACATATTTCACATATTCCAATCAAAAAAATATCATTACTTTTTGAGCCGAAGAGCATTGCCAGCACTCTGCTTTTATTTTCTGCATGTATCACCATAATATGCATTATTCAGTATCAATATTCTGATACAAAATAATTATAGCCACTTTCTCCTACTATTAAGGAAATGTATTTTCCCAATACATTAATCAGCAAACTGCACAAAAAAATAAGATATTGAACTAGCTTTGAATTGCTGAGTAAGAGCACTAAATAATCTGATTTTAAGCAAGCTAATTTGGCACGATTCCCCAACTATAAATTTATATCCTCATTCAAAAGTTATAAATTACTTAAATAATCCTCCGTTTTTGCTCACTGAAATAACAGTTGAAATTGCAATACTTAAATCATTCCATGTTAATAATAGTAAGAATCACTTCCAGGCCAATAGGTACAAATTAAATTGTACTGTAAATGAAAAAGAGATGAGCTTCTGAAATGTTAATCTATCCATAAATGAAAGTACTTATTTGGGGAAGAAGCTGCCTAGCAGAAAGAATGTGTGTGTTTACACTGCTGCTGTATTCTTCACCAAGCAAGTCTTTTTTTCTCTCTCTCATAACTTTTGGACTTACTTTAAAATAAATCATAAAACATGTGGATGGTGTGATCTGTTTAGACATCGTACAGCTGAACTTTCAAAACTCTTTAACAAAGTTCCTCACAAGCAAAATTAAGAATCATGACTGAGAAGCCTGTATTCAAATTGGGTGTCTCTTCTCTTTTCCTTCAATTCTTGTATCGTACAACAAGCAATTTGGTCAGGTCTCTTAATATTCAATAATAATAATAATAATAATAATAATAATAATAATAATATATTATGGATCATCGCACAGTCAGCCAGATGTTCAGACTGGATTTGACATTTTGTCTGCCTATCGAGTCCTTACCCAGGACCTGGGATAGGCAGATGTGGATGTTTGATGGTATTACAGGTATTGTCGCAGGATGGAAGCAGTTCCTAGTAAAGCCACCTTTTGCAACTGACTAATAGCGAATTTGTCAATGCCAATGGTGTTCAAGTGGTGCTCCAGTTGTTTTGGGATTGCACCCAAAGAGCCTATTACTACCCTTGCTTGCTTTTGCCATAGTCTTTCTATTTCTATTTGTAGGTCTTTGTATTTTGTTATCTTCTCCAGCTCTTTCTCTTCTATTCTGCTATCTCCAGGCACTGCCACGTCCACTATCCAGACTTTTTTGTCTTTCTTATCGACAATTGTTAAGTCTGGGGTGTTATGTTGCAGGTGCTTGTCTGTTTGAATTCTGAAGTCCCAGAGCAGTTTAATTTTATCATTTTCTATGACTTTCTCTATTTTATGATCCCACCAGTTTCTGCTTATAGGCAAATGATATTTCTTGCAGATCTTCCAACGTACCATTGTTGCTACTTTGTCATGCCGCTGCTTGTAGTCAGTCTGTGCAATCTTCTTGCAACAGCTTACCAGGTGGTCCACTGTTTCTTCAGCTTCTTTGCATAGGCGGCACCTACTGTCTGTTGCTGTCTTCTCAATTTTGTCTTTATATGCATTTGTCCTTGAGGCTTGGTCTTGTGCAGCCAGAATTAATCCCTCGGTCTATTTCTTCAATTTTCCTGCTCTTAGCCATTGCCAGGTCTTGTTAATATCTGCTTTCCCAGCTATTTTTTTAATGTATTATTATTATTATTATTATTATTATTATTATTATTTCAATTTGTATGGCCAACCATCTCATCTAAGCAATTCTGGGCAGCTCACAAAAATTAAAACAATTTAAAAACCAGTGTAAAAAAAAAATGGTGAAAAGAAGGCATCCACCAAGTTCAAATGTGTTTCCTACGTAATATATTTCACCAAAAATAAATTGATTTACCAAGAATTAGTAGGGTCATTATCAAAGTTGCCAAATTGTCTGAAAACCTTTACAAATCTGTGTTCAGCTTTAGTCAGTGGACCGGTAAAGGTACCCCATGTCTATATTACCACTTGATTAAAATATGACAATGATTCTGCACAAGACTGCCTCAGGAACTATAATTGGGGTCCAGAATACAGTGGCCTGCATGCTTACTGGCATCTTGTGCTGGGATCATGTAACATCTGTTCTCAGTACCCTGCATTGGGTTTCTGGGAACAATTTTAAAATGTAGGTTTTGACCCAGAAAGTTATTTTTTGACTTGGCATCTGGGTCCCTGCTAGACTCCCTATTTCAATTATAGTTGGACATTATTTGTATTTTCTCCCATTTCCAAGAAATGAACAGAGCTGAAATCAGAAGGTGCTGCTTCACCATAGCAATGCCAGAGTACTGGAATAGTCTCCCAATGAGGACCACAATAGCCTTCTCTTTTTTTATTTTCTGAAAGATGTTAAAAATAGTCTTTGGTGTTTCGTGGAGCTTCGTGGTTTGTTCCCAACACTACTTGCTGGCATTTCATTACCTGCTAAGGTAACATCATCAGTGCCTGTGTGGTAATGAGACTGGCAGATAAACAAGAGCTTACCGACAGTCACATGATCATGAGAGGGATGGCATATAAATTTAATAAATAAACAAAGCTCCACAAGGCCTCAGTGGGCATCAAGGCCTCCACAATTTAACATTAGCTACATATATCCTTTCCAGCAGCACTGATGTTGCCTACTTGAATAATGAAACATCTGCAAGAAAAAAGGCAAGCTCAAAGAGTACCAAGGACCCCACAGTTTGACCCTTACAAATATTCCATCAGTACATTATTATTTATCCATTTTTTTTTTGTCCTGTTTATTTTTAAGTATTTTATTTTGGTTACAATGTGCTTTCAGTTTGGGGTTTTATGATTCACGTTTTCACTTTTTGCTATATCATGTAGACTGCAAAGTCTTGATGACTGCAGTTGGATAGAAGTGTGAATAAATGTAATCTGAGAATGAACATACTGAAAATGTTGGAAAACTTTAATTAATTACTGATAGCATACGAATATTACAAATTCTTTTTTTTAAAAAAAAAAATTACACCAGCTCTTCCAGGAATAATATTTTCTCCTCTCCATATCTGGGGACAAATAATTTTTAGAAGCTTTGTACGTAAACTGAATTTACTTACCTACTGTCTGTATCCAGGCCAACAAAATCTTTTTTTTCAAAAGGAACACACAGAAGTGGGATCTTATCTCCAGACTTATCGATGGCTCTGTCAAGACGCTTGGAGTCCAAGACAATGAAAAGAGATTCAATGAAGTCTTCTATTCTCTTTTCCACGTTTTCACATTCATCGTAACTAGGATAAAATGCCACGTCCGTACGGGTTTGCTCTGCAATTTCTCCCTGAAGCCCAAAGACAAACAGCCGGGAATCGTAAAGGGTTGAGCCATAAATTTCCTTTTGAAGGTGGAATTTTTCAAAAGTTTGAGGCCAGTCTTTTCCAGAGGAACAATCCGTGATGGTTATTAATCCCACAACTTTGCGATGCGTCTGAAAATCTCCCCATTCGTTGTTTTCTGGTGGGTAATGATGTCTGTAGCGGATATAAAGAACTCGCTGAGAGTCACGGACATTGATCTGACTCACAGTTGAGATTCGTTTGTAGATCTTAAAAAAGCTCTCTTCAGGAACAATCCCATCTGGCTGGACCACGACTAGTAAAGTTTGATGATCTTCCGCACACTGCATGTAGTCCGGGATGCTCATTTTGCAACTTAAGTATGCTAATGCAAACACAATAAAGCACAGAAGGAATAAAACTTAATAAAACAGAGAAGGAAAAATGTACAGCATTTCTCTACTTAAGAAGTATTCGTTTTACGAGTGATGCCTTTCTGAAATATTAGACCTATTATCTAAAATCATAAAAAACCTCGAATTTGAATAATAATTGATAATTTGAATAAATTATTGGTGATGACAAATCTAGACAGCATACTAAAAAGCAAAGACATCACCCTGTCAACAAAAGTACGTATAGTCAAGGCCATGGTTTTCTCAGTTGCAATGTATGGCTGTGAAAGTTGGACCATAAGAAAGGCTGAGCACCAAAGAATTGAGGCCTTCGAACTACGGTGCTGGAGAAGACTCCTGCAAGTCCCTTGGACTGCAAGGCGTTCAAACCGGTCAGTCCTAGAGGAGATCAACCCCGACTACTCTTTAGAAGGCCAGATCCTGAAGTTGAAACTCAAGTACTTTGGCCACCTAATGAGAAGGAAGGACTCACTGGAGAAGAGCCTGATGCTGGGAAAGATGGAGGGCAAGAGAAGAAGGGGACAACAGAGAAGGAGGTGGCTGGATGGAGTCACTGAAGCAGTAGGCGTGAGCTTAAATGGACTCCAGAAGATGGTAGAGGACAGGAAGGCCTGGAGGAACGTTGTTCATGGGGTCGACTTCACAATTAACAACGACAACACCAAATTAGAAAGAGGTATCTTCCAGAAACAGGTACAGGAGGAGAAGTGGTACAGGGCAGCCTTCTGAAGGAGCCTGAACAGTAAACATGAGCTTGCCTCTGGGAAGATGAAGCATGGACTTTATGAAAGAACAGCTGGACCTTTTTCCTTCCCACCCAAAACCAGAAACACTGCCTTGCCTCAAATCCTTCTTTTAGGTCCCCAAAATGAACGTCCCAACCGGGCTTTGTCCACCCACGGATGTGTACAGGTAGCCCTTGAGTTACGACAACGGAGCCCAAAATGTATGTTGTTAAGTGAAACATTTGGTAATGGGAGTTTGCCCCGTTTTATGACTTTTCTTGCCACAGTTGTTAAGTGAATCGTCGTATTTAAATAAGTAACATGGTTGTTAAGCGGCTTCCCCGCTGACTTTGCTTGTCAAAAGGTCGCAAAAGCGGATCACGCGACCCCCGGGACACTGCTACCGCTATATATATCTGAACCAGTTGCCCAGCGTCCAAATTCTGATCACGCGACCGTAGGAATACTGCCACGGTGATAACTATGAAAAACAGTCCCTTTTTTTCAGACCCGCGGTTAACTTTGACCGGTCACTAAACGAACTGCTGTAAGCCGAGGACTGCCTGCATTTAATTAAAGAGACGTCAGGCATAAGGCAAAAGGGCAAGTCAGGCCTTGAGGGCACACAGGTCACCACAATAAAAGCAAGGCGTGGACTCCAAGGCATCAAAGAGAGAAGAGGTGGCGCAGCAGTTAGAGTGCAGTTCTGCAGGCCACTTTAGCTGACTGTGTTCAGCAGGTCAGCGGTTCAAATCTCACCGGCTCGAGGTTGACTCAACCTTCCAGCCTTTCAGGGTAGGTAAAATGAGGACCCAGATTGTTGGGGGGCAATGTAAATATATATATATATATATACATTGCTTACTGGTGTACACGGCTTAGAGAGTGCTTGCACTTAAAGCGGTATATAAGTCTCATAAATAAATAAATAATAAATAAATAAGAGGCCCACTTTGCACAACCCATCAGTAAAATGTATGTTTTGGGCTTCAGCCTCCATCCTCTCTGGCTCCTGGCCTGCGTCTGAGGCCTGGCCCCAAACATCTGGAAGACACCCCACCCCCAGGCTGCCCTGGGCCCAGACTGTAGGCCAGGCTCCCCCCCCCCCAATCTGGCTCCCAGGGAGCGTGCTTGGACTACCACAACTCCCATCATCCCGAGAGGAACTGGGCACTGGAATCCAAACATGCGTGGAAAGTGCCGGAAGGAAGAGGGGGGTAATTTCGGAGCTTCAACCCCTCCCCCCCCCAGCCAAGGGAAGAGACGGCTCGGCTCTCCCCCTCCCCATCCCGGCCCCGGCTCCCTCCAGCGTCCCCGGCCCTCGCCCGCCCGGCCGGCCCACTCAGGGGCTCCAGCGGCTCACCCACCACTGCCGGGTCGACGTAATAGCTCCGCCTCCTCCGCTTCTGTCGCTCGCTCCAGACGGAAGGCGGGGCGGGCGGGCGGGCGACGGCTCACTGCGCAGGCGCCAACCCTCGAGTTCTCGCGGGTCGGGACGCGCATGCGCACCTAGCTCCTAAGCAAGGCTTTGAACGGTCGCCATGGCGACGGCGGGCGGTTGAGAGCGACCGTTAGATTCCAACGGTCGCTCTCCTGAGGGAGCGGGTCTTCCCCTCAGGATGCTTTTAGTACAGTGTTTCTCAACCTTGACCATTTTAAGGCATGTGGACTTCAACTCCCAGAATTCCACAGCCAGCACTGCTGGCTGTGGAATTCTGGGAGTTGAAGTCCACATGCCTTAAAATTGTCAAGGTTGAGAAACACTGTTTTAGTACAAAAGCTTGGAGAGGCCTGTTTGTACGTCTATTTTGTCTCACTTAGCGCCCAATGAGTTTTTTTTTTTCACTTCAGAGGTGCGACTTACACGCCCATCACCCACAGCCAGCGGCTCCCCACGGAACTGTCATAAGCATGAGGCGGGAAGATGGCCGGCAAACTACAACCGCCTGGCAACTGCATTCGTTTTAGCCTTAGTTAGGCTTTTCTTTAGCCTGGCGGGCGTTGGTTACAGGCCTGGATTAAGCCACGAAAGGGGGTTATGAAACGAGGCGCGCAGAGGCAAAGCTACCTCCCCCGCCTCGCTCTGGGACGCCCCCCCGCCGCGAACTTTGAGAGCGAACTGCCCTCTGGGACGCGTAGTCTTCCTTCTCGCAACGCTCCGATTGGTTCCTGTGAAAAGCCAACCGACGTTCTAGTCGCGCCATTACTCGCAATGCGCTCCTGGGACTCGTAGTTCTTGCTATCCCTGCCCCCGCGGCTCAGCGGCAGGCGGAAACTACAAGTCCCAAAAGGCGAGGCGGCGCTTCCAGCCGCGAGGCTCGGGAAAAGCGGGGGGGGGGGGAGAGAGAGCATATGTCCCTGATCTGAGGTAACTAAAGATGGCGTCGCGGTGGAGCGGAGCTTCTGGCGGGGGCGAGAACCGGTTGGTGTCGCTGCCTCTGTCGCGGACCCGGGTGATAATGAAGAGCTCGCCCGAAGTCTCGAGCATCAACCCGGATGCGATTTTCCTCACCGCCAAGGCCACGGTAGGGGCAGCCTTGTGGGAGCGAGGACGGTCCAGATGTGCCGGCTGGGAGGGAAGGGGGATTCGGGCCGCTGCACATCTGGAGGCCCCCATCTCCAGACTTGAAGGCGAAACAATTCACCGAGAAACGCTACTTTTACGACGTCTTCGCCTTAAGACAAGAAGCAACGGGGGGGGGGGAACTCGTCAAGGAGAGAAGCAACCTGGAATTAAGGAGGAGAAACTTCCTGACAGTGAGGACAATTGACCAGTGGAACGGCTTGCCACCAGAAGGTGTGGCTGCTCCAGCACTGGAGGCTTTTAAGAAGAGATTGGACAACCATTTGTCTGGAATGGTATAGGGCAGGGGTAGGCAACCTTTTATGACTCGTGGACTTCAATTCCCAGAATTCCTGAGCCAGCATCGCTCAGCATGGAAACCTCTCCCCTTCTCAGCATGGCTGACTCAGGAATTCTGGGAGTTGAAGTCCATGAGTCATAAAAGAGCCGAGGTTGCCTACCCCTGGTATAGGGGCTCCTGTATAGTATTAGTATTTGTATTTCTATAGTATTTGTATTAGTATAGTATTAGTTTAGAATAGTATAGTGCAGTGGTTCTCAATCTTTTTAATGCCGCGACCCCCAACCGGTCGTAAGTCGAAGACTACTCAACTGGTGCAGCACCGTTTGCAGAATGGGACTTTTGGCGGGCTCAGCAGGGCAGAGACAGCCTGGACAATTCCTATTGGCTTTTGAAAGCCAATAGAATTAGACTCTGTTCAAGAGAGTCTATTCTATTGGCTTTCAAAAGCCAATAGAATAAAAGGGAGTAGTACACCTAAGGGGAAAAAAATGGCAGACTGCGTTGTTTGGCGACCCCCGTGGAATGGTCGTTCGACCCCAAATGGGGTCCCGACCCACAGGTTGAGAACCACTGGTATAGTGAATATAGAAGAGAAGATAGCAGGGGTCCCCAACCTTGCCCACTTTATGACTTGTGGACTTCAACTCCCAGAAGTCCTCAGCCAGCATGAATTACACCAATATCAAGGAAATGGGGGAACAGAATCATTAAAGAGAGGATGCATTAGGAGGGACGTCATGAAATGTGAATGACCAAAATTAAAATAATTTTTAAATTACTCTAAATAAATGGAATTGTTGAATTGTCCCATGGCGAATTTGCAAAGCTGTCTTGAGGAATTCTGGGAGTTAAAGTCCACAAGTCGTAAAGTGGTCAAGGTTGGGAACCTCTGGAATATAGAACAGAATAAGAATCCTTTACATTAAAATGAAATTTCATTGCATTCAGCTCTCAAAGGGTCGCCACCTCCAATATACACTACGTAAATATGACAGAAATAAATACAGAATTATGCACATACCCACATATATTAGATGGCACAGAAAAACAACACAGTCTAGTTTGGATTATGTATACACATGCATGGCGAGAAAAACAAGTTTTGCGAGTTTACCGGACGGATTGTTTGAGCAGAGGGTTGGACTAAATGACCTCCAAGGTCCCTTCCAACTCCATTGTTCTGTTTTGTTTGTTTGTTTTGTTTTTGTCTGTGTGGACTGTAACTGGAATGGGACAAGTTGCCGTGTCCAAGTCGTCACAGGACAACTCGCTACGGGACAATTCAACCATTCAATTTAGTTAGAGTAGTTTAAAAATTATTTTAATTTTGGTCATTCACATTTCATGTTGTCCCTCCTTCTGCATCCTGTCTTTAATGATTCTGTTCCACCATTTCCTTGATATTGGTGCAATTCTTGCCCTGTGGCGCAAGTTGGCCAGGGCAGGTTGTTTTAGACCCGACTGCAACTCCCAGAATTCCCCAGTCAACAGTAATTAACCAACTATAGTCTGATCTCTGATATGTTTGAACTGTAAGTACGATCTTTTCCTTTTAGGAGCTATTTGTTCAGTACTTAGCTACTTACGCTTACAAGCATGGCAAGGGCAACGAGCACAAAACCCTAACATATACTGACCTGTCAGAAGCAGTAGAGAAGTCTGATACTTTCCAGTTCCTTGCAGGTCAGTCTTTACTTTGCTATTATTGTAACTGATATGAAATAATCCCTGAAATAGGGGAAAGGGGAGTGTGGAATTTTTCCATGTCATTCTTTTCAAACTTTTGGATTATATTTTTATTTATTAATGAATTGAGCAGGAAGAATCCCAACCCTTTCTCGTTTGTTTTGTTTTTTTAAAAAACAACCTATTTTAGGGGATATTTTGTTTCCTTATTGTTAAAACTATTGAGAATTGGAATTAGTTGCAAACCTCTGGTAGATCCTGCAAATAAATTAATGGTATGTTAGGCTCTCTTGGCAATTTCATCTCTCTTGTATCATAATTGTGTACCATTATCTTTTAATCTGACTCTAATAAAAATAAGATCATGAAAAATATATCTTCTCAACCTAAAACCTATCAAAGATGGCTACGCGAAAAATTGGGATGCCCAAATTGTGGCCCTGTCACAAAAAGCTCAAAAACCATTTTTATTTTTTTTATTGACTGATCGAATGTATATATGCCACTGATCTCACTCTGCAAACTCTAGAATTATTTCCATAGTTCAGTGGAAACCCTGGCAGTAGACAGTATAGGGTGCAAGTTAATTTTGTAGTGATAGAAAATACTCCGTAAACTAATGAAAAAGATATTTTTCTTTTCCAGATATTGTGCCCAAGAAAATCTTGGCAAGCAAATACCTAAAGATGCTTGAAAAAGAAAAAGAAGGAAAAGTGATAAAAGAGGAGGAGGAGGAGGAAGAGGAAGCAGAGGAAAGTGAGGCTGAAGGAGCATCTTGATAGCACAGCTTATTGATTTGTGACCTTCTTGTATGTGAGCACTCTTTAATGATTTGTGGTCAGCTGAATTGTCACATCCTTGAACCAGTGAACTTCCAGAGTTGAAATTGCCGTCTTGTGTACAATTACCCTGCAGAGTATGGCAAAGACTTCCAAGTGGGGCTGAACATATTTGCAGAAAAACCCTTGTTTCTCATCGTCAGCTTATAAACATAATATAGATGAGTGCTTATAATATACGAAAACATCGGGGTTAACCAAATCCTGTATTTTCTATACAGAATCATCTTCATTGCTCACATTGAGCAAATCTAAAAGCAGCTAATTCCCTTTACATGCCGATAGTAATGTTTCCTTTCAATGTAAGTTGGTTAAAAAAAAAAATAAGTCTAAAAGCGAACTGTTTATACGAATAGTTGTATATAAGCTACCCTAGGATCAATTTGGTGTTCAAATTGTCCATGTTGAAAAGAAAAAAATAATTTATTTTCAATGTCATCAGTTCCTATGCACAGTCATGTTACACCGACGTAAATAAAATCCTGCAGTTTTGCATGAATACACATATTGGGAATTTTTTTTTTTTAATTGAAAATTTTTTAAAAACTTTTACAAAGACAGAAAAAAAAACAATGACAACTACAATAAAAAAAAACAAAACAATACAACCCTCCCCCAACCCCTCCCAAATCACCCCCTCCCTCCCCCCCCGAGCTTCCCAGAGCAGAATATAGGCTTAATTAAAAGAAGTTAACAAAATTATAAGATAATTAAGAAGAAAATATATATGAATAAAGAATTATAAACCTTAAAAAGAAACAATATTTAAAAAAAACAAAGAAAAGAAAAAAAAGTAGAGTTTTTATACAAGTTAAAAAAAAGCTAAATGGTATTTTTTCATATCCAATTTAAATTCTATAAAATTTATCCATTTTTCCCATACAGCAAAAAATATTTAAAAAAAAAACAAAGAAAAGAAAAAAAGAGTTTTTATACAAGTTATAAAAAAGCTAAATGGTATTTTTTCATATCCAATTTAAATTGTATAAAATTTATCCATTTTTCCCATACAGCAAAAAATTTCTCTTGCATTTGCTCT